CACAGAATATATAAGATCGAAACAATTTTTTATTAAGATATACTTAAAGGAGAGACAAAGAAATCTGCATACCAATTTATTTATAGCTAGCAAGCACCAAAATGATGTTTACACTGTTTATTATGATCCTGAAACTCAAGGGGAAGTAGAATCCAGTCAGTCACTCAAACACTAAAATTCAATTCCTTTTTCATATTTTAAAAGACCTGCTAGCAGAAAGCTGTAAAGAAAAATTTAACTGAAAATCTAGTCTGCCTGTGAAGACACCTCAGTAAAATGAACATGAAATTTCATGTTTGCTGCAGTATAATCAATTCTATTTCTCACTGGCTACACAATTATTCTGGTCAAACTTTAACACAAACTTGAAAATAAATCACCTCATAGCAGTCAGAATCAATTGGCATTTTGAAAAATTGCGCTCTTTTCTCAGCTCAAAAAAAAATCGTAATATTATACTGCAAATAACTCTGCCTTTCCTAATCTCTTGTCAACATGCTTTCTGAGTTACAGATATAAAGGTTACACTAGAATCCACACCTTAGTGAATGTTCTCAACTTTACAACAGTAAAATATTTCACAGGGCCCATTTCAAGATATTCCAACACTGTAATCTGGCCCCTTACCCACAGTTTCATTCACAGAGCTCTGAACGCACCTGAGTCTACTTGGACTTCTATCTTAATTTAGTTAGAAAGAGAGTCCTACCTGTCCCCTAAGTGTTTAACCATATTTTAAACCCTTCACTTGGATAAATAACTATTCGATTACTAAGAATATTACTCATATCAGTATTTAATACTGTTCATGGGAAATACAGGTTTGCCTGCATTTTCTATTTCATACTGAAAGCAACCATTTAGATGAATTACAATTCAAAAGTATCATGACACCTCCCCAAAAAACCCTAAGATCGACTCAGGAACTTATGATAGTCTGACTGTAAATTATCTTGTAGGGCTCAAAGACTGAAATGAATAGCAGGTCAGCTTTGCCATAATAGTGAAAGCTCTGTGAACTGTCCTTTCTTCAAGGCTACCCCTCCTCCAGGAACACTCTGTGAGCACAAGGGTATTGCACAACTGCAAGACTGTTATGAATAATCTTTAATCTCTCAACTGATCGCTCCTGGATGCAGAAGCTAGCCTAGTACCAGCTTCAAAACTCAGAAGAGCATCTGACATCAAAGCAACAAAAAAGGGAAAGTACATGCAAGCAAATATTCATATATGCACATTTATTTATCTTACCTGTGCCCCCAAGTCATTGTAAAGAAATTTCAATGCTGTCAGTTGTTCATCCATCCCTTTGGGATTATCTGTCTGTTGTTTCTGTACAATCTGCCGTCCTGTCTTGATGACAGTTTCAACCTCCAATTTCACCTCACTCAAGGTCTTATAGAGTTTCTAAAAACACAAATGGGTATATTGGCGATAAATTTTTAATGCAGATTTTAAGACTCTGCTTCATTTGGGGACCTTACCATCAAATGGCACTTAAACTCTCATCTATGGTTTAGCATCAGTGTCTAACAGGAAGATTTCATACTCCCAATGTTCTATATTTTATTCTAGTTTTTATTTTCACATACAGAAAAGAATTAGCTCAATAATTTAGCAGTGATTACTCCAAGACTGTCATATGTACTTCATCTTATGTAAAGTACTTTTTTAGTTCAAATACTAATGATTGTGATGCTTCTCCAGAACACAAGGATGAACCAGGGAAGGGAGTTTTTATAAACTCAGTTGTTTCACCACATCTGCAATCAACAGTCCTCTACTTTTATTTCCATGTTCTCACCTAGAATATGAGGGTTTTTTAGTTAGCAATTGTTCTGTTAGCACTTCCCAATCAGTCGCAGTAGTTCCATGAGGACTTTAAGCTAAATTTCCTCAGGAGAGAGTTCAAGCAAGAAGAATCACACATAAAAGAAGCACTCCCAAGTATGAGGTAAGAACATTGCATACATACCATACACTTTTCCAGGTGAGCTTGGATTACATCTGGGTCAGTATCCTTAACATCCAAGACATGAAGTTCTGCTTTTACCCCATCCAACACCCGCTTGCAATCCAACATGCGCTGCTCAAAATTAGCTGGTTTCTGGAAAAGCTGATACTTTGTACATACTTCACGGAGCTTTCTCTGTTTTAATAAATATTATGTAAAAAGATTGTTTCAAATTAGTAGCTGCACTTCAAAAAATAACATTTAAAGCATCTCTCATCACAGATTATAACTTGTCATGCCACCACAATTTGGTATATATGGCACCATTATTTGCCAAGCCATATTTTGTCATCTATTCCTAATCCTCAGGGGCAAGAAGCTGTAATTCTGTATCATACACTTTGAAAATTTCCATTTTACTGAAATACAGCGACTTTCTGACTTTCAGCATTTATTCCATGATACTTCTGTGAAATTTAGGCTTCCTTACTCAATTTATCTAGAGCTGCTTGTTTCCTTATGAAAGCATGTAAAAGCATATAATATCTTCTTCAGAGGTTTGTTTGACTGCACCGAACAATTTACAGACTAACACAGCAGTGTGTGTGACTCATATTTTTACCTGCAAAGCATCCAGCTGAGTTCCACCACGGGGAGACCTGCACTCAGGAGAAGCAGGAGGGAAAGAGCGAGAACTTTTCTTGAGCTCCTCTAAGGTGGATTCATGAGCTGCAATCTCAGCTTGAATTTTCTGCAATTCCATAGAAATAGGAAAAAAATACAAAACTGCTTGCAGAGCGGGGAAGGAGAGTTGGCTTACCTACTACCCACCAGAAGTAAATCTACTCTGTAAAACTTAAACACCACCAGGTTTATTTTAAATATTCTCTCTTTGGTGACAGCTTGCTAAATTGAAAGCCACTGTTACTCAATACAACCTTCTTAAAAGAAGAAAACAATCCAGATTACAAAAGATAACACCTAGAGCATCAGCATAGGACTGAAATGAAGTCTTCATAAATTATTAAGTCTAGGCTGAGCACTATGACGAAATATTTCAAAATGTTTTGTAGTGAAGAACTGTACTGAAATACCATACCTGGGCCTCCTGAGGCATCTGAAAGGCGTCTATCCTATCAGTCAGGTAAGATGTCAGCTGTCTATCCAGGTCTGTTAAGTTTTCTTGCAAGACATGTAACATGTGATCGGTTTCTCGCATGGTCTGAAGCTGTTGTTCCAAAGTGATCTGCCGGTTCACCGCCTGAGCAGGACAGAAAGAGAAGACAAGATGGAGCTGTAATTCAATACAAATTATAGTAAACTTTCTCAAAACAAAGTGGGAGAGATATAAAAAAACCTATGCCAGGAGGACTGGCTAAAAAGAACACTAGTAGGCAGCAATTTTTGAAGCTTGCTGTGGCTTCTGAACCAGTAATGGACAAATAGTGGCACAGAAAGAGAGTTCTGCTGCTAGATATACAGAAGAGTGAAAACAGGTCTTTCCTGTCACCTCAGGAAGAAAGCACTCTTAAAAACATACCACTTGCAAAAACTAGCTATTCAATGGAAGTCGGGGACTTCACAATACACTACATGTTGTTTGATGTCTTAACACATGCATTTTCTTTCAAAACAACAAACTCATTCCGTTACAGTGTCAAAACACAAATCCACAGTTCTTTCCCTTTATTGCCTCTTCCTTCAACAGCAAAACATCCCCGTTCATCTGAAATGTCACTTAATTCCCTACTATCAACACATGTACAGACCAGTGTGTGAGCACATACACATAACAGCGATGTGGAGAGTTGTCAACAGTCTAGTGTGTCAGCGCTGCAGCTACCAAAGCAGACAGGTTTTTATATGGCAATAAAGTATTGCTGCAACAGGAAAAACAGTAGTGAATGCTAACTTCAGTGACAGCACAGCCCCCCAGCTGAGGGCACTGCATGTATGTTGCTCACTGAAATGAACATGAACCAAAATCCCCTCTGTAACTACACTTCGGCAGTGACAGAAAACAACTCCCATCATACAACTTGGCACGGGCCTTTATTACCAGGATACAGAGCGCAAGTTAAAAACCTATGCGACCTGAGTTATGAAATACAACTAGTCTTCCTCTACTTATTAAATTTATAAAAGATTAGACTGAAGTAGAAGAGAAGGAAGACAACATAATAGATGGGTAATGACAAGAATGTTTTCCTTCTGTTCTTCATTTCAGTGTGACTTCTTCCTAGCTATTGCAAAGAATGAAAATGTCACTCATCCTCCTCATTTTTACAGTTAGTGAGCCATTCACCAGTATTTATGGCAGTAGGAAGGCAATATTAATGTCAGTTGTTGAGCTGTCCCTCCTAAATTTGGAACAGCCTTTTTGTCACAATTACCTGAAAAAATACCAGGGGGCCCCTGAAGTACAAGTGTGTGTTGAGCTTGCAAAACAAATCCTGACTCAAGTCACTAAAAATAGAAAAGCATCTTGCTCTTTGGCATTACTCCAAATTGAAAACAGCTGACAACATTGTGATGCTTTTTACTCTTTTCCTGTATTGCAACCCTCCATCTATGAATTCAGCTAACAAGAATCATTTCAGACTACTAAGCTGAAAACCTCAGTTTATTTTAACCCCAACCTCAAGTTCTTACCAAGTGACTCAATTCCTCATAGCGGGCATTGAAAGCTTCCAATTTGTCACTGATGATGTCATCAAGAATTCCTCCATCGATCAATGTCTGCCCAAGTTCCCGAATCTGAGTTCGATTATCAGCTGGATGACGCAACACTGATTCCAGGGACTAATTAGCAGAAAAAGTTTTAAAGGTTAAGGCACTGAATATTACTGTATTTTCAGAGCTGGAAATATGGTCACATACACAGAAGTTTAACACCTCAAATGTCTTGAAAGTGCTCTAGAAGGATAAATTAGTTATGGCTTAATTCATGATGGTACAAGGCAAATACAGAGGTGATTTTACTTTAGATAATGAAGCTTCACAGCATTTCTTGCCTATTCACATCATTTCATAATACTGTAACATCGGAAGGAATATTCATTTTGCACAGGTCAGGAGACAGCATACAATTCTATCATGGTACCAAGTACAGTGTGATCCTGTACAGAAACATTCCACTTTTGGTGAAGGATCTTAAAAATATCCATTTCTGATTCAGAGTAATACATTCATTTAACACGAAGATTCAGAATACTCAGCACATTTCAGCATTCTACTGAAGTGTAGAATTTACTTTTTTTTTAATAGAGCTATCTGAAAATTTACTAATCCAACAGAATTGCTGTAATACCTCAAGAGCATCATTGACAGCATCCAACTTATCAGGCAGATTTCCTGTCATTTGCACCCTTTCTTCCAGATTGTTTAGCCAAGCTGTTTCTAAATCAAGATACTGCAGCAGCTCAATCCAACAGGACCACACCTCCTAGGAGACACAGAAAAAAAATTAGCTTAGAATACAGAATGCCTGGAAGAGCTCATATACTCAGTGACCAACTCATAGATACGTTTCTGAGAAATTCACCTAAAACAGACAAGTAGAAAATATTCAAATATATGCCATGGCACAGTATGGTCTAGACAGAAAAACCTGCAGCTATAGCAGGAAGATATAGAGAAGTAAGCGTAGTAGTCTCTAAACTCATCCTAAAACTATCACTGACATGCAGGTTCATTTAACTATGTAAGAATGTAAAAAAAAAATGTATCCACTCCACTTGAAAGGTAGGACATACAAATCCTATCCCAGATCATAAGTACATGTTCTAATTATTATTGTATTTCAACCTTTAAATTCTGGCAAATTCTTTTTTGTCATTTTGGAAGATGCACAGATGAATAACAGAGCTGTGAGACAAGGTTACTTATTTGCAGAAGCATTGAACACAATACAGATTATAAAAACAAACTTAGATGGCATCTCATGGATTCCAAGGATGTCATATCAAGGGAAAACAATCTTGGAAAGGAGCCACAGCAAAAGGTATTTATGCTGAAGGTACTGTATTTAGACATTTTCAGTATCCTTCTCCATTGCTCTTGTGCCACTTGTCCCCATTTTACAGAATCACAGAAGCAATTAAGATGGAAAATATCTCTGAGATCATCAAATCCAAGCTATGACCAAACACCACCATGCCAACTAGACCATGACAATAAGTGCCACGTCCAGTCTTTCCTAAAACACCTCCAAGGACAGTGACTCTCCCACCTCCCTGGGCAGCCCATCCCAATGTTTAACAACTCTTTTAGTGAAGAAATTCCTCCTAATGTCCAACCTAAACCTCCTCTGGTACAGCTTAAGGTTATGTCCTGTTGTCCTGTCATCACTTACCTGGGAAAAGAGGTCAATCCCCACCTGGCTACAAACTCCTTTCAGGTGGTTGTAGAGTAGTCATAAGGTCACTCTTGAGCCTCCTTTTCTCCAGGCTAAACAACCCCAGCTCCCCCAGTCGCTCTTCACAAGACTTGCACTCCAGACCCTTCACCAGCTCCACTGCCTTTCTTTGGACATACTCTAGCACCTCCATGTCCTGACAGCGTGGGGCACAGAACTGCACACAACACTCGAGGGGTGACCTCACCAGTACCAAGTACAGAGGAATGATCATTGCCCTCATCCTGCTAGCCACATTATTTTTTATACAATCCAGGATGCCATTCTGGGCCGTCTGGGCACACTGCTGGCTCATGTTCAGACGGTTGCCAAGCAGCATCCTCAGATCCTTTTCTGCTGGGCCGCTTTCCAGTCATTCTTCCCCTATCCTGCTGTATGGAGTTGTTGTGGCTGAAGTGTAGGACCTTGACCTTGTTGAACCTCATACCATTGGCCTCAATCCATTGAACTGGCCTGTCCAGGTTCCTCTGCAGAGCTTTCCCACCCTCCAGAAGATTGGCACTCCCACCTAACTTGGCATTGTCCACAAATTTACTAAGGATAGACTCAATCCCCCCATCCAGATCATCAATGAAGATATTGAACAGACATGACTAAGCAAAGAAGTATCATTCTTACCTCCAGCGTGTGGCACTTCCCCCGGATCCGATTGCACAGTAGCTGGTAGTTCTCCAGCACAACGTTCAACTCAGTTGCCAGGTCCTGACCACTAGAGGGCACTTTGGTGGCCAGCATCTTGATGTTGTCTTTGAGAATCTTCACCCGCACCTCCTTCTGCAACACATCCTCCTTCGCTCTCTGCCCAAAAAAAAAAAGTATTACGAGATCAGTCTTTAATTGCCATACAGTCAGCTTCTCACCATTCAAATGGAAAATCTGCAATTTTACACTGCAAGTCCTGCTGCCAGTGTATTCTTGGGCACAGTACAGCTCCCAGTGCACAGGTCTCAAGTAATCATATTGTCAAATTTTGCTTTAACCAGAATTCAGGAAGGAAGATAGTTGGAAGACAGATCAAGTAGACCAGTCTGAGCCTGTCTCTGTTGAGACAAATAGAAGCCCTTGGAAATAGTGACTGTCCTCTCTGCGTTTTCAGGTTTCAAAAACAGTTCTAAGAAGTTGAAGTACCTCTGATAACAAGGCATTGCATTTATGGTAGAATTTAGTACATGACAACATAGTTTTCATACAGATTTTTCAAGATGTCTTCTAAATGTAAGGTAAAAGAAAAAAAAAAAAACACTTAATAGAAGGGCAAAGAATGGAAAATCTGGGGAACACCCTTTACGGCAGGATTATCAAAAACCCTCTAGTCTTATCTTAAAACTATTCCTTCAAATATCAGCAGGAGTTCCACACTCTGTTCAAATGTGAGCAGAACTGGCAAGTCAAAACTATATGCAAAAACGTGACTAGTTAAATACAGAAAGTGCTCTTTCCAATCTTAAAAGTAGTCCCAGGATACTATTGTTACTGCAAATGAAAGAAGAATTGTGTTACAATAAACTTACTGGCTCAGTGACATAACTGTCAAATTTAAAAATAAATAACATAGTCTGGATTTGACAAAGGTAAATGTGCTCAAAGTCTCACAGATTTGTCAGTGAAAAGAGGATTCTTTCTTTCCTTGGCTTGTGTTCAGCCAGCTGTCAGGCTATGTGAATCTCAAATGGTTTCAAAGGACATGAATATATTAAAACACTTGTTAAAGACTGTTTCAGAAAGCCCCTTCAAAAAGAACAATTCTAAACTTCAAATAGCTTTGTCAAAGCACTTGTAAGGGAGAAAACTCTTTTCTATGGTCCATTGAGAAACAGTGTAGTGGGTACTCACTTAAAAAGTGTACATACAAGTCAAAACATCTGTGAAGATACGCTTGAGCTCTCAGATTAAAAACCAGAGAGAATTATTTACTCTGTACCTATATCTAAGAAAATTTCCTATTCAACTGAAATTAGATTATAATAAGACAAAAATATCTCCTTCCTCTCTATTTATTTGGCCACCAGACCCAAAATTAGAGAAGCAGAGACCAACATCACTCACTGATCTTTGTGGATCCCTTCCAACTCAGGATATTAAAAGATCACTGTTTGCAACAGAGGATAAACAGAAGATAACCTTACAACAGACCTGTTTTAAACCTGTTTTAAATTTTCTAGATGTCAAGTTACAATATCTAGTGGACTAGAAACTGAAGTCCAAGAACTAGAAGAAGAAGAATGCTTTCACAACAACTAATTTAGAAGGGGTTAGCATTACCTTTTCTTTCTCAAGTTTCATCTCCTACTTTCCATATTCTTCATGTTTAATATGCTATACAAAGTAAGCCTGACTCAACAACTGGGCAAGCTGTTATTCGTTATGAAATCCCTACCACCTTGTGGCCAAACAGAACATCTGCTTTTATTGTCTATTCTTAAAAAAAAAAAAAAAAAATCCACAAAGCAAAGATGAAAAATACCACTACCCTTGTCATGACCCAAGCTCCTTTCCACAAAAGGCCAACCCCCAAAGCCATTAAGTTTTGTTTCCCTTTAATCAGGCATCTACAATGAGCTGGTATTGCTGACCTTCATCTCCTCTACCGCATTCTCTAGCTCTTCAGGAGACTTGTATTCAAAATCTTTTTCCAAATATTCTTCTTCAGCTTGGGTCATCCACTCTTGCATCTCTGCCAAATCCTTCTTCAGATTTACAGCTTTTTCCTGACTTTCAGACAGGCGATTTTTCTGACTAATGATCTAGAATCCAAGGTGGAGAAAGGAACAGCAGTTTTGTTACTTAAATGTCCTTGTATATATGAAAAGCCACAAGTTTTTGTTAAAATATTTTACTACCAAAACATACTCAGGCTTTTTTAAGTAACAAAAGACTTCTACACACACGCACACAAACTTATGAACCCTTTTTAGTAGATCAACAAAATCTAGAGGTGAGGGAAGGAAGAAAATTACTTTTTATTTTCCCCTTCATTGCACATAAACTGGTGACAATCCCTGTAAAAAGACAGAATAAAACCCTCTTCTGATTACAAGTATCATATAGTTACATATATCTTTATATAGAGCACTAAAACACTCTTTAGGCCTCACTTTTTTCCACAGCTCAAACAATCTGGATTTTATATGAACAGCAAGGCTCTCCAACACAGATTCTCACCAGGAACTGCAACAAAAGAAGTGTATTTCTATAGACAGCAGAAAGCTTCCACCCCAAAGAAACAACTAAATTCACTGGACTGGAGTCTATTTATAGCCACTTATTTTTCAAAGCTTCTTGGAAGCAGACAGAAATTATACAGGGACAGAACAAAATTCCAGATTTCAGAGGCAGCAAAAAAACAAGTCAGACTTCCCTCCCACACACCCCAGAAAGAGCAGCATGAAACAAAGTGAACAAATTAATTTTTAATTACAAAAAATTACAGGATTTACTGTGCTCCTTCCACTTAGGTACCAAGAAGAGCATGTATTCAAACAAATCTACTGTTGCAGAGGTATCCCCTAATATACTTGCACTACTGGAGGATTCACCAAGCCAAGTTGGACTTGAGTCACTTTGGCAGTGGAACAAGTAAAACATACTCATCCCACTGTTTAACCATTACACTGCTTCACCTCCTCACCATCCTACCAATGCTGCACAACCAAATAGGTAGCTGCAGCAAAAAGCAAATACTAGCAACGTAAGGAGAACTCACCTGTTTGCTCAGTTTCTCCCATCGAGTTTGGCAGTCTACTAGCCTAGACTTTGTCCAAGTATTTATGCTTGCAATAGGTTGAGCTCTTAAAGCAGCTTCTACTTCTTTCATCTCTTTCAGTGATGGTTCAATTGTCTCCATTTCATTGACAAACAACTGATCACATATTGGAGAAAATGAATATTGTGCTTTAGCAAGATTTTACATATATTTACAGGTTACTAATAATTTTATAACTTTTAATTATTCCAGAGAAACTTTTGAGGAGTAGATCGATACAGTGTTCAATACCAGACTGCCTAAAACAATCCGTTAGTGGTTCAAAACATCAGAACCATGGAACTAAAAAACGAAAGACAGCTTGCCATACACAGCACAAACATTCTCACATGCCAAATGTCAACACCAGAACAACACAAGTTTGAAGATTACATGCATTCAATATCCTGCTGTTTCTGGTATACCTCAGTTTATACTCTACCGGAAATAAACGTTTGAAGGTACACTGTAATTACTTGTTATAAGATGAAATTCTTCATAACTGATCATTATGTGCCACTGACTAGGAAGGAATTGGTGAAGGCCTTTGAAAAGCACTAAGTGTTATAGCTATACACAAGAAACTAATTAAAATGTGCCTTGAAGAGAGATACAATGATTCTTCTGCTGGGCTTTATTGAATACGCTATGGACAATATTTACTAATAAAAGTAAAAGAAGAAATTATTTCAAAAGATTCCTTAAAAGAGCATAACTCACTGTGCACTGGTCAAGTTGCCTTTGAAGTCCTTCAGTATCCCCTTGAACAGCCTTTTCTGTCATTAAAAAGTCTTTAACACCATCCATCCACTTCTGAACAACTTTTGCATCAGTCTAAACAAATACAGTGAGGAAGAGTTAATGCAATATCATGATAAAGAATGTATGGTTGTTGCATTTAAACCTCTAATAGTATCAAAAGACTATTCTACAAGCTGCTAGCATTGTCCTGGTTTTGCACCAGACCAACTTTGGTTTAATCTGGGGGTTTGTTTTGTTGTGGGTTTTCTTTTAGAGGGCAGGGGTGTCCAAAATTTCTCTTTTCTCAAATGTACACGAAAATTAAATTTACAATAGCGATATTCTTTCATCCACCACAGCATGGTTTAATTGACACTGCACTACTCCAGGCTATCACACAGAAGCACAGGATCAAGTAAGGCAGAGAGCATGGCTTCAAGAACTACATGGATCACATGAAGAACCTGACTGCAAATAGCGTTTTCTTGATGACAAAAATGATGCGTGGTTTCCACCACACTCATCTGAAAGGCGAACTGCACTCTTAAGGAAAAGAAAGGACCCTATAAAAGTTCATACGTTGGAGTCAATAACGCGAAACATACTTAGCAGGTAGAAAGCACACTGGGAAAGCCATTCACATAACAGAGGCACAGTCATAAAAGTTAAAAAAAAAACAAAGAAGATTAGACAAATCACTAAAATTTAAAAAACAAAACAAACAAACAAACAAACAAAAAACAGCCTAGCTGTTTGGGGCCAATAGCAGCTACTGTACTCACTGGAGCAACTCATTGGGGAAAAGAGTAAATACACACCCAGTTTCAGAGTTATCTAACAGTTGGCAGTTGCCTTGTATCCTGCACTGAGGAAGGGAGACAGAAGCACTGTCTCTTGCCCACACAACTGTGGATGTTCCAAACCATCCTTACAAACAAAACCAATGCAAACTTAAAGCACAAAGAGTTTTTCTTGTCCTACTCAAGTTATGTGGTTGCCATTTTCAAATAATACAGCTGGACTTCTTCTAATCAACATTTTCAGACTATTTGGTTGGGGTTTTTTAACAGATGGCATCTCTCTGTCCTGACACAATCATCATCACACAGCACTGTTATTGAGAAGCCGAGTCAAGCTCATCAGCTTCACCTTCTACTCTGCATGTCACCAAGGATGAAAGCACACACTTTGTTTTCTTAAAAATCTCATACTAACAGTTTTTTCAAGATCAATACATTACACATTGCTTCTTAAAAAATGTCTGCACTAATGAAAAACCAGTAGACCAAGTTCATGTTTATTTTTAGGCAAATGCTACCATTAGAGGTCAAAGTCATGACATTTTCTTCATTCCTTTTCGGGGGAATTTCCTGCAGCTGAGTAGCCTGAACATCATTTTCCAGAAAACAGACCCCAGGAGGCTTAACAGTGAACCATGGCTTAATGTAAAAAAATACATATTTATAAAGGCTGCCATTTGAAAAGACATTTTAACACATAACTAATTTAGCTTTCTTCCTATAAGATATTTACATAAGTAGATGAAGTGAATTAAGTGGAATTACTCCAAGTTAGGCACACATTTAAATAACTTGCTGAATCACAAATCAAGTCTACAGAATTTTCATGAAATAAATGCTCCTTCATTGCACAGGTAAATAAATTATCAATGGTCAAATAACCAGTGCAGACTGTTGATATATAAGAGCTCACAATTTTTTGACATGAACACCCACATCATAGAATGATTTGGTTTGGAAGGGACCTTAAGATTGTCCAGTTCCAACCCACATGCCATGGGGCAGGGTCATCTTACAGTAGATGAGGTTGCTCAAAGCCCCATCCAAATGGGGCTTGAACACTCCCATGGGTGAGGCATCCACAGCTTCTCAGGGCAACCTGTTCCAGTGCCCTACCACCCTCACAGTAAAGAATTTCTTCCTAATATCCAATCTAAACTTATCCTCTTTCAGTTTAGAGCCCTTTACCCCTTGTCCTACCCCTACATGCCCTTGTAAACAGTTCTCTTTCAGCTCTCTTACAGGCACCCTTTAGATACTGGAAGGCTGCTATAAGGTCTCCCCAGAGCCTTCACTTCTCCAGGACCAGTTTTTAAAACTTCTTTCAGGAAGGAAGGAAGATGAAATGTGCTGAATTTTAACTTGTTCACTCTTAGAAAAACGACATGATGTACAACCATGTAGTGAATTTAAAAGATCTGAAGGTGATACATAATCAAAGACGCAGCGAGCCATTCATTATTCCAGTATAACACAGAATGCACGACACAGAAAATTTCTTCTAGAAAATACAGGATGCAAAACTGATAAAATAAGCCTTGTCTACTTTTCCCATCTCATGAGTAATACAGTCTGCTAGCAAAACGTCACTCCCAGATCATGTCACTAATGGATGTGTTGTCAGCTTAGGGGAGCCTCTATCACATCACAAATAACAGAAAAGCCACCTAAGCAGCAGGACTCTCAGGCAGATCTGCCACTGACTTGCTCATCAGACTAAGAAAGACATTTTAAGCATTGTTCACCTGTCTGCTCACTGTTAAAACAAGAATACTGACATTGTTTCTTTTCAAAAACCTAAATGTAAGGAGTGTTGTTTTGGGAAATGTCAGTTTCTAAAGGTGAATTACTAAAAAAAAAGAAACATTAAAAATGAACTAACACTTGCATCTAGTTGCACATAATCACGTTATATTCCTTTTTTTATTATTTTTCTTTTCTCCCCCACTAATTTTTTTTCCCTTTAATAGCAGGATGCTTCAACTTCTCTCTTAACCAAAGAGATACTGCCCAGCCATCCTCTAAACTGATCTTATGTCTCTGGTATTAGTGTTACTGACAAATTTGGTGTCTGCACCAGGACCACATACCAAGTCTGCCATATCAATATTTCTTGCAGTACAAGTTATATACTGGTCTGTCCAATGCTGTATACAGAATTTTTACTCAACTTATTCCACATTCTCATTTTTATTCATACAGTGCTAAACTACAAAAATCTCTGTATAGATTAGTAGCACTCTTTCAAAAGGAAAAACTCAGAGTATGTAACACGACTGTTCATCCACTGTCAGCTTTATGAAACATTTGGAAAACACAGAAAGTGTGTACTTAAAAATACAGTTCATAATAAAACACCCCTAATGTAAGCCCCGTATTTCTACAGATAGATCAACATGTATTTATTTCATTTTCAATTATTTAAGAATAATAATTTAATATTAATAAAGTAAATATTAATTAAACAAATTTTTAATAATTGTCTTCATTGTTTCTTCTGTTATCATTTCTTTTCCAGTTTTTGTACTTCCTTTTACAGTAAAAGGAAAATTTTTTAACATTTTGCTTGGGAGCAAATTCTGTTCTCAGATCTACACAAAACATTGTGCTGCCTCACTGCTCTGCTCTCCATAGCAATTCAAAAGTCACATGGGCATAAAAATCCTTATCTTTCATCAGTGAGTGCTTCATATACGTGGTATATGGTACCAATATCACTTTGGACAGCTGTGGAAAATAGGATGCTTCACTTTTGACCGAAAAACTAAATAATTGATCACTAACCAAAAATCACCACGTTAATACTGCACGTTTACTCTGCTCTCAATAGCATACTCTCAGTTATCAGTTTTCAAGATCCATTCTTCACACAGTTAAAGCTGTGATTCAAGAAAAGTAGGTGCATGTACAGATCACTCAACTGAACAAGATCCAAGTGCAGCAAAAGAAGAATTCTGCACATACAGCAAATTAAGGGAGGGAAAAACTGCTGCTCAAACTGATGAGGTAAGTTGGTTTTGCACAGTGTAGGTACAGCTAATCAAGGCAACCGCAAGTCCGTAACCATTTGAAGAATAAGACTGATAGAAAGTTGTTGCACAAAGGACACTGAAGCAGACTCACATGCTGAATATTTACTCTGTCATGCTAAATAATTAAGACCATCACCAGTAAGTGATAGTGAGTGAATGAGACATGGTGGGATATCGCAGATAAGGTCAAAGTCAAGAGAAAAATTAATGAGGAGGTGGTTGCTGGAAAGTAATCACCAAGGCATTAGCTAAGCATTAGAAGTTACAAACCACCTCACTTTGGGCTGTCAGCTCCTGCTGACCAGCAGCACCAGCTGCTTCACAGCTCCACATCATCCCAGACTGCTGCAATTAGCTACTGAAGGATGAGTTTGAAGGAACTAGATTAATAGCAGAAGCACAAGTATTCATGTTTCTGAACACACCTGTGGCAGAGGGGGCTGGGGACAGGGACAGCTTTTATGTCTGCACTTCAGATAGTACAGCCTAACAAATGAAATACACATTTTTTCCTCTGAAAGCCTACAATTCCCCTTCCTATTCCTAAGCTGGTTTGTGGCTTCTATTTACAAGTCCACTAGTCCAGATTGGACTACCATATCTATGGTGTTCATACACACAAATCACATACACACACTGCTGGGAGCAGCTCAAGTCCTGAAAGAAATAATTAGTGAATAACACTTTACAAGCATGATCAAGTTATTCCCTCCAGCAATTTTTTTTTTTTCCACCAAGTAAAACCTTTAATGGGATTGAGGCTTTTACTACTTCTGAACCATAATCAGTAATGGCTTGTCCAACTTTCACTGCAACATCATGCAAGTCAGTTATCTGGCCTCAGTAATATAAATTTCAGCTTGAACACGTGTCTCTACTTGAGTAGCCATTAAAGATCCTGTCTGGCTTAAAATAAAAGAAAAATGAAAATAATAAAACCCACTATTCAGTTTAAATTTTAATCAGCTATCAAATAAAGGAACCATTTTCTGCCTCAGAGGGAAGAGAGAGCAACATTGAAAGAAACTTTTGAGGAAACGTGGTGGTGTGCATGCATAGTACCAGTGTCCTGAAGAGGGTGCACAGACAGTTGTTTATGTTTATAAACTGTGTGATATATCTCCTGTTAAAAAGAATGCAAATAAATCCACAAACTAAGATATGTTTAAAGCATGTGAAAATACATATTTGCTAGATAATGTGCCTTCCTCATAAGAGAATCTCTAAAGCATCTTCTTGATTTTTGAATTTTAAAACACAATATGAAAAGGAAAATAATATGAAACTTATTTAAAACCTAGTTAAACAATATTCTGGGGAAAAACTATGGCACTGTATTTGGGTTTCTATACTGCTTATACTTTCAAGCTGATAGTGAGGAATGGTTAGTGCCTATTTCACTTTTGAGTCACAATAATATCATCATAGGCTAAATCACAATATACTTTCATGTATATTCATATATATCATTTTTTTCTTCCTCTCCCCACAAGAATACAAGTAGTCTAAAGAAAGGAGTTAAAGCAAACACAAAAAAATCAATCTAACCAGTAAATACTGAGTCCAATTAAATCACTTAAGCTCTCATGACTCCTCTTGTTATCAATAGGTTAAGCATCCATGTACCCTTGCTTTCCATCCCTTCATTTTTAGAGCAGTGGGATTTTCTGTCATTCATATATATATATATATATATATATGTGTGTGTGTGTACGTAAGAGTGCTATTTAACCTTAGTTCTTTAACTATCCTTCCTGACACTTCAGAGGCCATCATTTGGAAAGGGAAAACTCGCAGTACCCGAGCATATTCTTTATTTCCCTCTTTAACAGGCTGCACTAACTCTTTATTACTGTTGACCAAAACACCACTTGAAGAAGCAGGTTTTCTGCAGCAAGTATGGCATTACAATTTCAGATAAACTAGTAAGCCACTGGGCATCTGACACCAACCACAATAGAACACATCTACCGCTGCTGGGACCAATAAGCACAGCTCACATATTCTTGACTTCAGTATAACCTTTTCTTCTGGTATTGAAAGAGAGGGACATTAATGTTACGTGAAAAGTGTTGCTATTAGAAAATGGGCACATTAGAAGTCCACTTGTACTCTGCTAGAAATACACTACATAGGCTTTCAGCCTCTGCCAGACCAGTGGCTCACCACCACTTCACTTCTCAATCAGTATCGTCTTGACTCCTGCAAGATCACAGAGAAAGAAAGGTCTCTAAAGCAACTGAGTTACATAACATTACGTAACAATAAAATTCCTTTCATTTTACCTCAAATATTCTCAGCTTGGATGTAATTCCCTCCAGTAGTTTAACATCTTTGGAAATCTTGAGCTTTAACTTATCCCACTGTCCCTGTAGATGTTTGAACTCCTGAGCATAGATGTTTTTTATATCCGAAGCAGCATGTTCCTCCAAAGCTTTTGTTTCTTCAGCAAGTTTATCTACCTTGGGCTTCTGCGCTTCCAGTGTCTCACAAAGTGCCTACAATCAAGAAAAAAGAAAAGATGTCTCCTTCCAATATTAGCCATACAACAGATACACACATATAAGCGCAAGTACTTCAGAAGTTTCACTGTCCAGCGATTCAGCACATAGATTCAGTGAAGAGTGATATTCCAGTTACTGCAGTTATTGCAGTAGAAGTGTTCAAACAACCTTTTAAGCAGCAAAACCTTCATCTGTTCTACTGGTGCAGTAGCAGAGATTACAGAAGGGATAGCAAAGCTTGGCCACGTAGCTAAACAAGCCCAGGTACCTACATCTCTCCTGTACTGTACAATACTGTCACTCAAGTTAACAAAGCAGTGGTTGTGCTACACTGCAGTCATAAAACTGCAGTGTAGCTGTGCTAAGACCTCAGTGTTTTCATTCCATCCACAGGTGTTTGGGTTTTTTTAAAGAAAACAAACAAACAGGTTGAGAGTGTTCTTCAAAGTTTTTGTAAAGTAAAATACAATAGCTGCAAAGAAAGTGCCTGCTACAGTGCAGATGCTGGACAATCCCAAGGTCCACAAGCAGCTCATCATCTACACTTTGTTCCTATTTCCTGTCACACCCTTTAAAGCTCCCACACTAGCATACTACGTCCCTTCAGGTTAATTAGTTCTTTGAAGAAAATGGGGAGGTGAAACTTATTTTAATCTGCTAGTTCAAGAAAACCAAAGCACTAACACCTTTGTTTACTTGACTTGTAAAAATTATCACCTTCTGCTAAACAGATAAGGATATAATCAGACAGGGCCTCTCCCACCCATCATCCAGAGCTCAAGAGCTCCTCCAGAGTCACCTGAAGCCCCTCTTACGCGACCACACAGGGAAAAATCATTCTTCCGTATTAAGCATGATTCCACAAAAGCAATGAGGGATGGTGAAGGGGATGAGAAAGTAATTGTTTATAAGCTTTTTGGTGAAAAAAAAAATAAAATAGAAAAAGCATTGGAGACACACAATCATCTCCCTGGAGAGAGCTCCACCCCTGCCCCTATAACTGGTATTTACAAAGCAACCGTCACCCATAGATTTTCCCCTACTTTATAGACTCACAATAGGAAACAAAACACTGTTTCCACTGCACAGAATTTGTGTATCAATTACATTTATGGCTCACAAGCACTGTTTCCCTTTGAAAGACAATCTGGACGCTAGAGAAGCACAGTTATTGTCTCCAAACATTCAAGCGGGATGAAGTGATGTTGGAGGTGAGAAAGACCATGAGGAAATGGAGACAGCATATGCATTGTGGAAGAATCAAGGAAAAGAAGAGATTTCGTTTGAGGACTGGAAGAATAACCCTGTCAACACCACAGCCTGTGACAATACCAATAGTTAAGGACTTCATCATGGTAGCTTCGTTAAAATTATAAAACCTATTAGTAGGTTGTCTCTCCCATTTTTCCCTCATGGACTTGAAGCCTAGCAGGCATAGAGACAGTGTTCCATTGGTCAGTGTACCAGGTGGTATTGACCAATCATGTTTTCCCCGGTTATCTTCTCCCTTGTCCCTACCTCCTAATGTTTATTCATTTACCCCCATCTAACCGATGTTAGCAGATTTGCATGCTCCGCCCCATCTCCACCCACCTTCCAGACCCTTCTCTACATAACCCTATAAAACCCACCATTTTGTGTTAATAAAGTGGAATCAGCCCTTGGCTGTGAAGGTGTTCAGACTTGTGTCGTGTGTCCCTTCTTGGGGCTGCATCACAGCTTGAACCTAACCTTCCAGCTTCTACCTCTGGCTCTCTTCTAACATCTACAAGCTAGCCACAAGAACCCCTGTCGCTGGTCTGCTCCCTTCCCTTTTTCAAAACTGTGACAAAGTGGGATGGTTTTAACCAGCTGACCCTCAGAGACAATTTAGGCAGGCAGGCATGTCACATCTGGGTGGGCTTTTTACCCAGTTCTTGGAGGGGAGGGTTACAAGGCTGCCCACCATAGGCTGTGCAGAAGGGCAGAGGTAGAGAGCCCACACTGCCCCCAGCTCCTGGTTTTCCTCACGACCACACTTAGCGGCAATGGAGCAGACTTTGGATCAGGTCACCAACCTAATCCAACCAAGCCTCTAGGAGAGGGATACTCCTGGGGCCTTAACAACTGCTTTAGGACTCATGAGAACAAGAAATACATGCACACCAGAGTGCCTGGGGAAGCCACCAAGGTTGTCTGAGGTCCTCTTCCCCCAGTTGAGCAGTCCCAGTTCTCACCCTGCCCCCTGGCACAGGCAGCAAGGGAAGCTGTGAAGTCTGCAGGCTCAGGGATACCCAGCCCTGGGGCTGGACATGTCCCTTGGCAGCCTGTGGTAACCCAGCTTTCAACAAGGCACCTCCAGAAGCATCTTCCACACACCAGTCCCTGACCAACATCCCTCTGAACAACATGAGTTACCCCACTGAAGGCAGGAGAATAGAGGATGACCATGCTTGAGTTAGCAAATTCCTCACTTCACTGCGAAGGAGGGTTACCTTTGCCTGCTGCAGGGCCTTCTCAACTTTACTGGGTTCGCTCAGTTCACTGGCAATGGACTGCTGCTTGCCCTCTAGATCACTCAGCGTGTCCTTCAGCCGCTGCAGGGACTCCACGTACTCCTGGCTCGGCTGGCTTTCAGTCTCTGGTACCACAGAAAAGAGTAATGGAACAAAATACAAGGTAAAGAAATAGAAATAGGTGTGAGACCCAAGCTGTAGATAATGTGAACATAATTAGCCTACTAAGAGCTAAAAAACCTCTTCTGCTGATAACAATACTTTTCCTTTAAAAAATATTAAATATATCATGTACGAATATGTATTATATAGAACACAATAATAAATATGACAACCTCCAAAAACATTTATACACTCTATCTCATTTTCAGAATTTTTCTTATACTCCTAAGCAGTTAAACCTGTTGGGGTGGGTGGGGTCAGGGAATTGATAGTATTTTGATATTTACATGTCTCAACCCCCCCAATTTAGTGTTTTTCATTTTTTAAAGTTTTAGACCTATCTCCTATTTGTCTGCAAACACATACAAAGATATCTACTACATATAGAAAAAAAAGTATAACATATATAATAGCCATATAGTATATAGCAAGTAAAATATACACACTACATAAAGTAACTATATAAGCTAGTATTTACATATATATACACATATACACAAAATAAATATTAGTGTAATAGTAGCGTTAGGGTTTTGGTGGGGTTTTACATTTTATATATATATATATACATACATACACAAATATATAAAAATAGCAGCTTTTATCCTGTTGTCAGAACAGAGACGCTAGGAAGTCTGAAGGACTTAAGAAGACTGAAAAGAGAATTAAAGTTTGGATGGAGTATCTGCTTCCAGTCTTCAACTGCTTCTCAAAATTTGTTCAAGCCAGCCCTCTGTGGAATCCCAGGCAGGAGACAGCACCTCATTCTGGCATTTCAGAATGAAAATAACAGATTTGGACTACTGCAGAAAACAGGATTTCACCTGTAAGACCTGCACTGTGGTATGCACATTCTCTGGCCTTCGATTCCTAGGCAATTTTGCTACTACTGCAAGTGAAAATTAATCTAACCCTTCTTCTGACTCACCAGGTACCTTTTAAACAGCGTACTGTCAGAACTGTCTTACTGTTTATAAAAATGAGTCAACATTTTTAGAGAGAATCAGAGTTATCTAACCTCTTTTTCTCAAAAATCCAGGAACAATTTAAAGGGGATAAAAAAAGAACTCAATAAAAAGCATATAGGTGTGCTGTCACTAAACTACAGCAAATCTTGGAGGAGAAGAAAATAGTTAAAATAGCCTCACACAGACAAAAAATTGAGTCACAATTGCCATTAAAAAAATGCCTGTAGAGATGGGATTGAGTAGCACTCCATGAGGGAACTCTCAGAGGCTCAAAGAAGAGCCATGAAAGTAGCTGTCCTTCAGCCAGTCAAAGCATACCAAGTTTACAAATGTGCAAGTGACACCACCAGCTTTTTCTACCAGTTATACGGCTCTGGAAGGTCTTTTACCTTGCAGCAATTCAAACTATGAAGTAAACAAGCAACTGAAACCCTGAACTGAGATTTCCCTCTGCACTTAAGCAATATAATTTCACCGCAGGTTGTCTCATTCAAAAAAATATACAAGTACGAATTTGACATATTAAAACATGTAGGATGTTTTTACCCAGCAATAACTGGTTGAAGTATACTGATAACACCTCAAGTGATGTGTGGCATGAAAAAATGAGCAATCTTGTTGTCATATGGTGTATAATTACCAAAATACACAACATCAATAAAATTATTCAAAAGCACATGAACTCAAAACAGCTATAAAATAATCGTTCATCACAGTAAGAATTAAAGTATACCCTTGTAACTTGAACGTGGCAGACAGATACATTATTCACAGTTTTCTGCATGGTTATAATGAAAGCATGCAGGCCTGGTGCAACACACTATATAGATGGTCCAACAATTTAGTAATTGAGACTACTTTTATTACACACAGGATAAAGTTTTAATGCTCTTCCATTTGGGGACACTAATAAAACACTTCCTCGGATTTCTCTAAAATAAAAACCAAGGGAAAAAAATCTTATAGGTCTGTGCTCTTGCTATTTAGCTGTAATATATTACCAGAACCACATACTTTGTGCGCTACATTTAAAGTCCTTTAGAAACCAGCATGACTGGTTTGAATACTCATAATGAAATTTTTAATGCAACAAAAGCCCAAGTAGAAACTGCATGAAAAGCAAGCCAGATTCCCAATCACTTCAAAGATGAAATTTGCAAAAGGAATTATGTACGACTAATGTGCTCAAAGCTATGAAAAAGAATAAATTTCACATGCGCACTTCTATTTAACAAGGTTCTCCTAATCTTCTAGTTTTCATGTCTAGTATTATTAGTTATTTCTGTATAAGTACCAGAGAAACACAGACTTTCAAACTATATTATCCACCTTAAATATGTCTTGTTAATCCCTCAAATGAAGTGTCAGGAATGTTGCATCCTTCCACAATCACTTTTAACACCATGGAACAGTATATTTTAAAGTGTGTGCAGAGGAGGTCATAAAAATATACTTTCACGTGATAAAATAATTTTGTCAGTTTGACCCAAAGCTAAGTAGAATCAATACAAAACCCCTACCAGAATCCAAAGTGTTCTCAGTCAGCTCAAAACAAATAAAAAAAAAAATCAGAACACAGGTAAGCAGGAGGCCTTATGTTAAAAAAAAAAATATTTTTTAATATATATTTCTTTACCTTCTTTCAGCTGTTGGTGACGTTCCTCTAGTTTCTGACGAGTCAATTTGAAGTGATCAAGAAAACCATTCAGGTTCTCCTGAATGAAATTTGAAGGCATGGGTTGAGAGGTGAGTGCCTTGCAGGTGGCTTTCAGATGTTCCAGCCGTGGACTCAGGCTTACAAGATGCGTTAACTCCCGCTGTGAAAGATTGAAACCAAAAGCCAAATTCACACTTGCCTTGTTAACAGAAAGATTTTAGTGAGCTACTGCAGCACGGCTCTTCCACATTACTAGGGCGACAACATTAAAGTACTTCTGATATACAGGTACCAAAATCTTCCAGTCAAATCAGGCGCCCTGCATGCCTTAGAAACTGAATTGCCTTACTGACTAGGCTAAGCTCCTCTGGGGCATCCTGTGCTTCTGACACCTTCCAATCAAAATTAACAAGTTTTGCCAGACTTACCTGACATAAGTCTTTCAGGACTGATGAGGGTTGGGATGCTGAAGAGGCATCATTTTTAAGCCAGTCATCCTTCTCAATTAAAGTCTTCTCAAGTTCATTTATTTCCTTCAAATAAGCATTTATTTCTTCCTGGTACTTTATCTTTCTGGCCGCTTCTTCTAGATTTTGAACCATATCTTTCCACGCTGACAATATTTTCTCCATCATAGCTTTTATATCCACTGTAGGAAGTCCTTCTAAAAAGATTATATAAATTATCACTATATTAACTGCAACACATTTTGATTAGCAGACATTTAATCCTTCCTCTCTTCAAATATAGGTGCACATTTGCAAAATGTTTTGATTCCAAGTCCACGATCTATAAATCTATACTTACTACTTCACACTGTTTCAGCTCTATATCTCCATGCTAATAGTAAAATGAAGAGTGAGATAACCCACTTCCATTTTGAGTAAAGACACATGGAGGGTTTTTTTTTGCTGCACTGCTTTAGCACAAGTGGAGCCCAATGCTCTTGTTAGGGCAGCCACCCAGCTTCTACAAGAGCACTTGAGGACCCTGCTCCATGGATCCTGCCCAAGCTTCACACACTGACCATCTGCTTGGCACACCTACAGCACAGCAGCTGCAGCCAGCCACACAGAAGGAGCATGCACACAACAGCCAGTCACAACAGCCAGGGGGATTTTTCTATAAATTTCAACATTTAAGATGACAAACAATTAAAGGGCAATTTCTGTATCTTACTTTTGACTGATGCAAAGCAGCTTTTCAACTATGCACTTTTCATTATGGTCAACAGACACTGGTTTCATAGTCATGACCTATCAAAGCTGAAGGGGTTTGTAGAAGAGGGAGGAAGGAAGGATTTTTGTCCATGTTTGGAAACAATGAACAGATAAAAATTTTTACAACCCAAACTCCAAGTCAAATCAGTGGCTTTCAGCCCTCAGCTTCAGTGCAATGGCACCCACCGATAAAAAGTCTCAGCTGTAGTACGCTAGGAGGAGAGGACTGGAGATGCTTGGCAAATTGGGGCTATTTTTATATTTATTATATATAGATTAGTGAAAAGTCTGGCTGGAAAAATGTGACAGTCAAGAAATCCAATGGAAATCAGCATTTTCCAAAAGGAATGCTGCTCAGTGCACAGGACAGTGATACCATCCTGTCAGATGTCTGTCTACCAGTCATAGCAGCTTCACCAGAAGTCAAGTGTATAGCAGATCTAAAAGACTGTCTCTAGATTATATGAATATCTCTTTTATGGAGATCACATTTCACTGGTAGAGTTTTGTCATTATGAAACAAGGTCTTGGCAAGGCTTTAAGATTCAACTCTTGTGGAAGTTAATTATAAGATCCCACGGATAAGTGTTTTCATTCACAATCAATCATTTTCCCAATCATGTAGACTTCTCTCATCTTTGAGCCACAAACTGTGACTGTAACATCAAAACATATTGACAGTTTTTACAAAAATAGACAAAACTATGAATAAAAGACACACACATATGTGTCAAGCTTAAATTTGGCTTCAAAGTTGCAACTTCTCTACAGAAGCTATATTATAAAACTTTATGCTTGAAATCAAACCAATTCCTTCCCTCAAAAGCATGTAACTGCCATTGTTACTGAAATAGAAATAATTTCTTAAAATAATTCTTAAAAGACTGCAAATGAGCACATGCATATTAAAAAAGAACAATAATGCTTTTCTGTAAGCTTTAATGAAAACAAAACACATAGCTAACTAGTAACAGGAACAATGATCAGTGGCTCTGAAGGAAAGTAAACAGAGGGAGAGGGAAGGAATATATTGTGATGTTTAACTAGAGATAACATTTCAATAATATTTCGCAGCAACTCAACTGATTAAATCACAAAACAGAAAAGTCGCTTACCCTTTCCCATTTGATCCAAAAGAACATGTCCACTTTGTTTCAGTTCATCTAACTTTTGGCTTTTTTCAACTCTTTCTTGTTCAATCACCTTCAAAGTGAAACGCACAAGAATAGTTTCAGTGAGGGTTATTTTTCCCAACTTCCCTCTTTCCCTCAGTAACACGGATTTTCCCACTACTACCCAAAACACATCCCATTTTCTTGAATACATCACCTTCTGAGATGCCTGTTAGTTCTGTTTGTTCAGAAAACAAGTGCAAAAAGAGTTAGCGCCCACAAGTACCAAGCAAGCAAGAGCAGGTACAACAGCACCAGGAATAAAATATTGTTAAAAGGGTTGATGATCCTGCAGTGTGAAATAAGATACTGGGACAACAGCTGAAACAAGTCACTTGGGATCAAAAATTGTAATTCTTTAATGCAAACCAGTGGAGAAAATATCTTTATTTTTTTTAGTAGTCCCTTCATCTCTACAGTCTGAGATATCCAGTAGAAGGGAACAACCTGTTCCATAGACTCTCATAAGCTCTAGTGCTTCACTCTCCTTCACAAAGATATGGTGAAAGAAATTCTATATGACTATCAAGATTAAAAATCTTGGAACAAGTTCTTCACTCAAGTCATACATATTGGTGTATATTGCTGTGTGAGTCAATAGGTAGAATATGTCCACTGAGGAAAGATAAATTCCTTGGCCACAAAGCCACAACTTCAATATCCTCTGTGATTACAACAAAGTATCTCCAAACAAAAATCTTTTTGGAACTCATGTCAAAGGTCATTACTCTGGTTTAGCCTTGCTACAGTAAATTCAGAAGCGTGCACTTATTTGTGTGCACTGTTCTACCCACTTACAGCCCAATAATTTAAAAACAGCTGTTCATGGGAACCCAGTGTTCGTCTTGGAGGCTTTTTTATAATTGGCTTATAAACATCCATAAAGATCTATAAATAAACTATTGGGAGGGTTGTTTTGGTTTTCATTTTCAACAGTGCTCTTACTCCAAACATTCCTACTGGCACCATTTTGTACTACAGCACTAAGAAGAAGATTCCTTATAGGTATTTTTAAGTATTGTTTTTGAATTCAAAAGCAGCTTCAGGTCTTGCTAAAGCTCAAGTAAGCCTTCATTAACAAAGCATGCTCAAGGACAAAAAAAAAGTCAAGAATACATTCCTGAAACAGAAGGAATAGAAGATAAAATGGCTATTTCATGGCTCCTACAGGTTTCTATAAAATTATGTATTCTGTCTGGCAGGTCAGTAATACTGTACACAAATTGTAACTATCAGGTTTTCTTCAAAGTTAATACAGCAAACATGTCCAAACATTATAATAACACACTACTTTGGACCCTGGGTGGTACAGTGTGTGAATAGTGTCACAGCACGACTCACAGAGTCTCTGAGCACACCACTGGCCTATCTCTGCCAAAATTATAAAAGTGGTGTCAATCAACACCATTTCCAACTGTGAAACAAGAAACCAAAATGTTACTTAGTGTAAAAGATAATAATCCTGAGGACAGACATTTTTCAGAACTCCAAAGTAGTAGACAACAGTAATACACGTTTTTAAAATTTCCTGTGGATTATTCAACCCAACAATGGCAAAAAAATGTGTCCAGCTGGTCAGAGATTTCCATGTACGTCCAGTTCTGAAAGTATTTAACTAAAGGACTTAATCCCCTCCAAGCATGTGGATCAGCCCAGCTGACAACCAGCTTAGACAGAGTATACTATTCACTGAAACACTGTCTATCTCCCCATTTTACCTTCAACTTTTCTTTCATGCTTGAAGTTTCTCTCATCTTCTTGTATTCTTTGATGTCTGTTGCCTGAATGGCAGATTTTGATCTTGAAATCCAGTTCAAGAGCTCCGCACTTTCAGCATCAAACCTGGTTTAAAAGGTCAGACAGTGGTTTGGGTTTTTTGTGTTTTGGGGTGTTTTTTTCCCTATTCAGTCATTCTGTCTTAAATATCAGAAGTCTTACAGTTCAGCACGTTATTCCATCCTAAAACATCCTAAAAACTGCACGCAAAATTTATGCTTCTTATATTGCTACTCACAGGAAGTAGGGCAGCGACTGACTTTCAAAAACCTACTACCATAAAAATTATGCCCATGGTATTAGCCTTTGGGAACAAATTAAGAATGCGTTTATTTCTCATTTTTTATACATAGCTTCATGCAAACTATAACTGTTTCTTTTAATATGTCACAAAACAGATCTATCAATGCCAAGTATTTCAAAAGTAATAAACTAAACTTCAGGAACAAGACAAATAAGAACTGCAGTTCTAGGTTCAATAAAAGTATGCAACACTATTTAGTTTGAAAGCAAAGCTAGCAGCTTAAGCACTCATGGCAGTGACAGCGGACAAACCCTTTTGCACACTCAGTTGACTAAAGATTAGCTTATAGCTTAATGTTTTTGGCTACAGTGGACATGTCTATCCTAATAACTTTCTTAAGCCTAAAACCTCTGAGTTTCAACCTGCCACCACCAAAAGAAACCAAATCAACTCTCAAATTAACCAGTACTGTACAGAACTTAAGAGGAGGACAGATACACTGTACAGATCACAAGTTAGGTCATATTACTGTTATACTAAACAGTGTAAATCCTAACACGGAATAACAGCATCCCAATAAATGCAAAGTCACTGTCCTTCACTCAAAGTTTTCATGGGATAACTGGCAAAATTCTACTTACTGGTCATTTGTTGGTTTCAACATAAGTAAATGGAATCACGCAAAAGCATCAGAAAGTTTAAACTATTTTTACTGATCCTTCCTTTAATGCAGTTTGAACTCAGTGAAAATAGATGACAGATAAATCACTTTTTCTTTGGAAATCTAAAATTGTTTCCACAGCTCGTGAGACAGAGAACAAGACAGGTGGGTTGCTGACTGCTTTACTGCCCTGGGACACTCAGATGCACACAGCACCCCCACCAGGCCTCAGAGGATCTGACCAGTGTCCTCGAGAGGGTTTGGGCAGGTTGCTCACCTCTCCAAATCTCCATTTCTTCTCCAGAAAAAATGAAGATAACTCTTTTTCACTGTGCAAACACACATCACCTGGCACAACGACCCCTCCACTCTTGATGCAGCCCTCTATCCTCACCCTAAACAGCCTCTTGAAGATTTAAACCAGTAACACCTCAAAGAAATGCTCATTTTCTCAGCCCATCACAAAAAGCAAAATGTCAAGTATACAGCATTTACTTCCTTAATTTATCTTGAAACAATTCCTTTAGTTTCAGGTATGCTATTTAATAAAGAGAATTCAACACAAGTTATTAAATATTGGTTAGCCTAGAGGAGAGAAGGCTCCAGGGAAACTTTATAGCACCTTTCCAGTACTGAAAGCAAATTGGGGAGGGACTTTATCAGGAATTGTATTGATAGCACAAGGACCAAATGTTTTCAACTGAAAGAGTATATTTAGATCACATACAATGAAGAAATTTGTCAGTATGAGAGACACTGGCAATCGTCTTCAATGGTGAGACACTGGAACAAACTGCCCAGATAAGTTGTACATGCCACAGGCCTGGAAGTGTTCCAGGTCAGATTGGATGGGGCTCCAAACAACCTGGTCTGGCAAAGGTACCCCTGATCATAGCAGGGGAGTTGGAATGAGATGATCTTTAAGGTCCCTTCCAGTCCATTCTGTGAGTCTACAGATGCAAATCAGTCAGCCATCCCAGAAATACTTCTCAAAGAAGACATTATTGTAATATTATTCTTATTGCTATGTACCAGGGAGATGGAATAGATTTCTGTGCCTTTTTTGGCTGCAGTTTCTCCCACTTCTCTCATATATTTATGGTGATTGTAAATAAATAGTAAATCAAAATACTTGGCACTTTCACAACACCTTCTAACCAAAGATGAGAAGATGTTTTTACAAAAGGAAGTAAATATAATTAATTCTATCTTTTCAGCAAAGGAGCTGAGGTACAAAGGACTAAAGACTTGCTTTTATGAGAAATAAAATATACCCGTTTCCCTTGGAAATTAATGGAAGCTATAGGTTTTCTGTTGCTCTGAAAACAAGGCTGCACACAACATTTCCTTCATGAATTGTTAAGGTTGGAAGGACCTCTGGAGATCATCTAGTCCAACCCCCAAACCCAACCTCACAACTGCAACTTAAGTATAGCTCACTTGCATAAAAGAAGAATCAGAAGCCAAGCCTGAGAGTCTGTGTAGTATCTAATGAGCATGCAAAAATGGTAGTGACATATACTTACTTCTTCTTTGCTTCACTGTCCCCTGGAATTTGCCTCTTCCTTGGGAGTGGTGGCGGGGGCAACTCCTGTCTGGACTGTTCCTTCAATGGCGTTGCTTCTGCAGCAGTCTTCTGTGAAACCTGTGACATCCCTACACTTCTTACAGCTTGAGTTACCTACACAAAACAATTTAGGAAAAGGATCACATACCATTTGAAACACAAGCTGAATTGCTTTTTCTTAGTTTCTTTTATTCATCAGTCATAAAAGCCCACTCATTCACTCCTCCAAATGACCTGCTGACACGAAGCACCTTTATCACAGATGCACTCCACAGAAAAATTTCACTGTTCTCATTTTACAGATGGAAACCAAGCATCAATGCTCTCGGTTCAACTAGAATTTAATGCCAGTCAAAGTGAACTATTATCAACAAAAAAAGCACTGTATCTATTTTTCTTCATAATTTGTTCACAAACAGAACCAAGGTACTTGAAGTTTATTAACACACAATTCAATATTTTGTACTCATATTTCATAAAAACAAGCCTAGTTCTCATAAGGAGCTGATATATGGTGAATTTGACCTAAAACCTCACTCACGTCAATAGAAACCTTCCATGTTCCTTAATGGGTTATAAAGTAAGACCCAAAGGAATCAACCTGTAAGTTTTAAATACCTGCTTGATATTTAAGGGGAGTGAAAGGATGAAGACAGAATTTGGCATCCTCTAGTGCTTTGACTCAAAAAAAAGAACAAACTAAAGCCACATGGCAGAAATAAAACCCCTTCTCAGACTGCACAACTCATTCACTATACACTAACTGGATCGTGAATCAGTGCCATGGCTTTCACCATAACAACATATTAATATCACATAAAGAGGCACGAGTTATAAAACTGTCAAATAAAATTCTCACAGAAACCAATGGAGTTCTGTCTAAATAAAAACATTACCAAGCACTCAAAGTACTAAAATAAACATTTAACAATCCAGCTTGGTTATCATGGTTACACATCAAACAAACAACTACTCTATTTTCAACAGATGAGAAATCATACTCACAGAGCATAAATGCTTGTATGACTCCCATTTATTTATCTATTCTGGGTTTTGGGTTTTGCCTTTGTTTTCTTTTAGTATCAGATTTAATCCAGTCCCAGCACTCTTATAATGTTTAAAGGCATTTGCATTGATTGATAATACATGGCAAGCCTGCTTTACTCATCAGAAAAATGAAGCTTAATCTGCGTGAGAAAGGAGTAATAGTACTAGTCAGGTTAACAACTTGGGCTTTCGAAGACCAAAAAATGCAGACAGATCTGTCAGCAGATAAAGTCAGCCTCACGTGAAAAAAGCACTCACCTACCTCTCTAGCCTAATGCCAAGAACTCTCCTGGGCTATTTCGCTGACACAGTATCAGTGAAGTTTGCATACATACAGTCATCTAAAAAGCTAACAAGTAATAAAGCCCTGTTAAGTACCTGGTTAGAGTAATCCTCTAGCTTCTGAACCAAACTGTCCCACCTCTGAGTTAGTTCTTCTTGATCCTGATCAATTTTGCTGGATGCTCTGCCATTCCCAAGGATCTGGGCCACATCTTGACCTAGCTCGTTCAGCTGGTCTAGTGTTTGACGTTTCATACCCATGTCCTCTTTCAAAATCTGAAATTAAAAGAAAACATTAAAAGTATTCTGACATCAAGTATTCTGCTACCCTTTAGATTTTAACTCCCTGTCTGGGAGGTGAAGTGTGTTGGGGGGTGGGAGGTGATGGGGGTGAAAAATGTACTACCAGAGTCTTGTGTAAAGAAAAGCCCTAACAGATACTCTTTTTAAAGAGCACATCCTTAAAACAGCTTCTAGAGCAATCAGCAGTATCTTGAGTAACAAATTAATTAGTTCACACTCCAAAGAAATAAAAAACTAACCACACTACAAACCCACACTTCAGAAAACACAGCTGACTGGTGGCCTGCAAAAAAATCCAAACTCCATCAATAATCTAGGAAAGCTGTTCCGAAGTTTGGCACACCAACCTGGAACAGCCATGGAATTAGTTGTACTGATTTTTTTTTTAATTCATGTGAAAGAATGTGGCAGGAGAGAATGCTGCCTGGCTTCCAAAGTGTCATGCATTCACAGCTCCTATTAGGGTCAAACTGATAATTTGCCATTCATTTAGTCTATGAGGTTTGACAGGATAGTGCAGGATAGTAATACTCACTGCTAGTTTTCGAACATTCACACTCAGGTCTGTTTGATCTTTAAAGTTGCTTGTCTGGACCTTACTCAAAGCCTCTTCTTTCTCAGTTAACCAAGCTTTCAATAAGCACTGCAGATCATAAGAAAAACAGCACAAGAAAATATCAAGTTTGTCCAACAGCTATTGACAACTCTTTCTTTAAGATCTTTGCATTCAAAGCACAGTTCTGCAGTCTTTATATGCAGGAATTTCAATTGACTCTAATAATAGATAAAATGGGACAAAAATATCAGATTAGGGAATGAAGTAATACTTTCCAGCAAAACAATTTCAACAAAATCATTTCTCAATACATCAGAGCACATCTCCCCAGAAGTTATTTATAGCAAACAGACATCCATCATAAAGCTGACGTAGGACTTAGAAATTATATAAGAATATATCAAAATGGCATGTACACTTTTTGTTTTCCACCCTTCCTCCTTTATGACTCCAACCCAGCTGTTACAAGTATTTTCTCACAGAAGCTACACCACTGGTAATTCAAAAATATTTTAGTCCAGGCAGTTGATCAAAGATACTAATTAGTCACCTCCCTGTCTATGGTACCTACTTTCAATTGCAAAATAACTTCAGCAAATACTATTTCATTAACTACTGAAAGCTAGAGTGGTCTCCTCTGAATAGTTCTAACTCAGGGATATTCAACTTTTTTCATTTTTTTTTCTAGGAAATCCGTCCTGGGTCTCACTTAGCTTCAGTCACATAGAACTCCTGTGGTAACATCAGCAAGAACTAGCATCCAAGTATCAGAAAAGATTTTACAGAAAATACGTTACGTTGCAACATCTTACTGCTGCTGCTGCACAGCAGTTTCCATGGACTAGAATGCCCAGCTCTCAGCTGCATAGCTACTGGAGCACTGCTGTTCTTCTGTGTTTAAAAATAAATCATACAGCAGGGTAGACCTTTTTGTTCTTTGAACAACACACTTTACAAAAGCCACTAGGCTTCTCAGACTATCTGTATATTTTTGTCATTGTCCCAGAACTTACTACAGTAACTTGTGGGCCAAAGGGTTAAGGCAGTTTACATTTCCAATGTCGACCAATATGCAAAACGTACAGACAGAAAATACAATGGTGGTGGAAATGCCATAAGGCTGTGAGAAACAAAATTATAACACCACATACTCCGTGGAAAAATCATGCTGGCATCCCAGCCAACATATTTTATGCATAAGAGGAGCATAAAACCCTTCAGTGTATTCAGTAAATTTCTGCTAAGTCAGCAGCCAAAGATAACTCCCCCTAGAAAACTGAAACATAATTATCACAGTGCTAAGAAGTATTTGGCATCTGGCACCAATTGAGGAATTTGTTTCCTGAGTGGTAAGAACTGTGGTTTCCAAAAGCTTTCTAGGCAGCCACAAAAAGGCTGATGCATCACTGTGGCTCATCTCTCCATACGGTTGGCCAAAATGGAAAATGCTAGTACTTAAATGTTTTAGCTACTTTTCTGTTAACAAAGTGTTTGTATTCAGTTTTTAAACAGTTTCAAACTGTCATTTTTTTAAGTCACTTGATCATTCATGAGGACAGAGGACTGTAATTCAAACCTCATAGTAATAAATGCCTCATTCAGTTGAACAATGAATGCAAACATAGGCTAAAAACCAACTAAAACAAACTCATATTTCCTCATTATTTGCTATCTGACATTCTACATTAAACACACCCATTGTTTCACTTTTACAGAGCAACATAATTATATACAAATTAAAAAAGCTGAATACAAAAGCAACTCCAACAGAAGATGACATTTTTAACAGTACAGTAATAGCCAATGAGTGGTCACTTAACCCCAGAAAAACATAAGGGTAGAAGAGGACAGAAATATGTTCATATAGTCACCAAAACTAAGAACACTTGAAGTTCATACTTCGACATAAACAGCAAGGATTTTTGGGGAATCCTTTTGGGGTAACTCTGTCAACTCAAGAGTTACCATGACCAAGAGTTGCCAAAAAATGTTAGCACACAATTTTCTGGATATACATACACAGGTGATCAGCAGTATTTCAAGGAAGTATATATAAACAGATACTTGGCATGGGAAAAACCAAAATTTTAACCTTGGGTCCATATCAAGAAGGTCACATGAGCTACAAATTCAGCTTATCAATATACTACAAACAGATAAAGGAGGGGTCAGGGAGAAACACATAGCAATCCCAAAAACCACAGACAAAACATCCTTGTCAAAGAAACCAGGCTGCAATTGATACCAACAGCTTATCAGCACTGTTCAACTTCTTTTAAACGTCTAAACAATCTGAGCTGTTTAAACACTAGGTTATAGTAATAAATATCATCATTTAAGGAAAAAAAAATTTCATTTAAACCTTCAAAGAGAAAACCCATCAACTATTTTAAAATGAGACACAAAGCAAGCTGTAGCATTAGGCATGCAAACCTAGCACACACAGTTGTGTTACCACATTTTTATGTCATCAGTTAATTTATGTTGGAGCAGTATTTTATATGTAAAATAGATGATACCAAAGCAAGAGAACAATCACAATGCCATCTTCTTGACAATTCAACTGTTCACCTGAACTCGCAAAATGAAACAAGCTGCATGCTTCATTCTTGATGTTACTCATTTTGAAAACACTTATCTATTGATTAGTTGATTGCACAGTTGTGTACGTGTATCCATGTTGGAAGCACATATACCTTAATCAGGAAAATTTCTGTAATTACAAAACCACCAGATACTTAGAGAAGTCACTGTCATTTTGCTATCGTGGACATTCACACTTCTTGACCATTTTGCAAGATTCCTTATAAAATAATTTCTAAGGTGTTATAAACTTTCTTAAAATTTCAGAAAATATTTCTCTTGCACTTCAGGGCTATTCTACTCCTCAAAAAACAGTGGGAATCCAAACAATAACTAAGTCTAGTTTTTCAAGGCTTTTTTTCTCACCCTAGTCAGAGGCTTGGTTGTTTGGGTTTCTTTGGTTGTTTGTTTTTTCCCTTCCACAAATCAACTGGTCATCAGCTGAACAGCTACTTACCTGTTCTTCCAGCAACTCCTGCCATAAAAGCTGAATTTCTTGCAGCTTGACCCGTCGATCCTCAGTCCAACGACAAACTGCTGTCCACCGCTCAGCAAGCCTCTACAAAAGCAGGAAACGCTCGTGAATGATCACAAACCTCACAAAAAAACGCCAAAACCAGATACTCAAAAAAAATTTCTACTTTACATTAACTACTTCTTTCTACATTATACCTACCTCCTTGTTAGTTATTGCTATCACTGTATTGCACAGAACTGGAGGTTACACTTTCAAAAACATTCACTTATGGCCTTAGCTCTGCTCTTGCTGAAGTCAGTAAGCTATCTGATGGACTTTAAAGGGAGCGAACAAAGTAGCATGAATTCTGTTTGAATAAATTATGTCCCACACTCACTGTACTTCAGGTTACAGTCCTAACTTCTGATAAAAACAGGAAAATACTTCACATGATGCTCCCTAGATAAATAATTTTAATGTCTTTAAATATTTTTCCCATCAGATTTTAACTTCTTAATAAAAATTACTTATATGAAATAAGAGTTCTGCTATGTATCTTCCCATTTTATGAAACTGCTGTATGGATAGACTACAAAGTGCCTAAGTCATTGGGAATGCAAATAGGAGTTGAGCTAGAAAGTCACCAAAGCACTTTTGCAGGTTTTAGCTTGACCTAATTTAATAATTTTTTAAGTTAGCATTAATTCATAAAAAAAAATTTAAATTACTTTCTAGTATAAATTGTCTTTAAACACAAAAACATCAACAATTATACGCCAAGATTTTAAGTGCCTGTTACTACAGTTAAAAAAAGAGGGCTCTACCATTTTACCTCCAACTGTTCCTCCAGAATAGCTGTTGCACTTTCCCCACTGCTTTCATCGACAATGACAACCATGCGTGTTAGGGAGTTTACCTTCACCTGTTCTGCCTCTAGATCACTCTGCAGGCTCTACAAGAACAAGACAGAGGTTACCAACTTTGAATATCATAGGGCATGCCAAACAGGGAAAAATCACTACGAACATTCATCTGTTAAGAGTTGACAGTATAATTCCCATAAGTAGCAACAGTGCAATAATGATCACAATGCTCAAAGACAATAGTTCAAAATTGCAGAAAACTTGCAGTTCTGATTAGTTTAAAATAATATGTAGATTTAAATATTCATGCAATAAATTATAGAAGAACAGATTCCATGGTTAAAGTCTACCTCCAAAATATTTCTGCAAGATCAATACACCTTTACAGTACTATAAATGTCACTTTTCATCCTAGCATATCCTAAGCTACTCCACAAGCAACATGCCTCAAACTCCTCAGACTTTGAAGACAAAAGACAGAATGTAAATGTGGGACAGGAAACTACATAGACCAAAAATAGCCCACTGTTCTTGTTCTGTGAGGTATGTCCCATGCAGGGGAGAAGGTCAAACCTCAGCACTAAGAACAAAAAGCTGAAGCTGAAACCATGACAAATATCAAAAAGGACACCTTTCTCCTTCACGAAAACACTGCAGGATAAAAAGGTTGGACTTGCATCCAAAAACTCAACTGAGACACAAACTAATTCCAAAATATTATGCACATCAGAGAGCAGTGTCTATGCACCCTCTTAGGATGCAATCCCTGTAAAAGCAGGGACTGGAATCAGTGACTTCGAGGTCCCTTCCTGATCCCACATTATTTTAATCTGCAGGCCTCAAGCATGCCTGCCAGTTACTAAGGGCAAGTTTGTCCACAGTATATTTCATGCTGTTCTTCATACCAATGATTTACCAGGAGAGGTCTTAGTCTCTGCACAAAGCAAGGGTAACACTTTTCCCTATAGGTTTCACTTCCTTCATGAAGCAAATATAATAGTTCCTGCTAGTCAGCAGTGCCCAAGCCATCAGTTTAGACTTCCAGGTCCTTTCTACCCCATCATCCTCCTTTTCAAACACCAAATGCTGCCATGTACGACTTCTGACACAATCAGGTTTCTCAGCTAAGGAACCCGCCAGTGTACACATCTTTCAGATACTTCTCCCATACATATCACATAACAGACAAAAAGGTTTACCTTATGTTCTTCCAGCTGTTTTTGAAGGGACACCAAATCTTCCGCTAAGAGCTGAGATTCCAGCTTCTGAATGCGTTCTTCTGTGACTGTCAGCCAGTCAGACAGATGCTGCAACTGCTGCTTCTGGAGCTCCATCAGCACGTCATGCAGGCTGCAGGGGGAAGCACAGACTGAGTTATTTCAGAAACAGCTTTCCCAGGAAAGAAACTAAATTCTAGTTCATATAGTAAAGCAGCAAGGCCATTCATAAAACAGTTACCTAGCATCAAATAAAGTGTTCACCATTAAGCTAAGGAACACACTTCAGTATTCTTGTTTCCTTCTCTCTTTCTGAACAAAAAAAGTTGGTGAATTATGCAATTTACATCAGAGATTGTTTCTTCCATCAGGGATTTGCTGCTAATAAAGCCTCTGCTGAGAGTCACAACAAAATGCAGTTCTCCCTTGATGTGCAGCTCTTACCTTGGTAACCCACAGGTTTTCTGCAGAAAAAAATTCTTCTGAATTGTTTTTAGCTGTATAAATACCCATAGCTATCGACATCCACTTTATGGAGAAACTTACATGTGTTTTTAATACTCTTTTGTTACTGCATTTAAATACCATATATTTAGTGTCGCACATCTACATAGCATAACAGTCACAAAGTCTTTGTATAATAAAAAAAACCCACCCCAATCAGTTATGGTCATTCCTTTTGTTTCACCTTGGAAACTATGAAGGTAGACTTCATGTCACAAACCGAAGTGTTAATTCTAAAAAAAAAGTTCTTACAAATGGACGCAAACCAACTTCTCCAAGGCACAGCAAGCACAAGAGGTCGGTCCTGTGCCTCTAGAAGGGGTTATGTGCCATCACTCACCGGGACTGCCTGTCCATGCTCTCCACCCTGAGTTCCTCCCAACGGGAGTTCAGCAGTAGCATTTGTTCCTGAATCTCAAACTCCTCTTCAGGTGACAGATTTCCCTGGGCCACCAGTTGGTTTCCAGCCTGCAGAACATTGCCAACACTGCTCTGGTGTGCAGTCAGTTCCATCATAAAACTCTGGAAATAGAACAAGCAGAGACATCAGCATGGGGTCCTACAAGAGTTTATGAATTTGTCAATATCCTAAAAATTGTCATGCTTGAAACATTGCTGCAGAATGAGCTATACTAGCAAACACACAATGCAGACCTGTTCCTCTCTTCGACAAAAGGTTTTCCATGAGCTACAAACATTCCACAGCCAGAATTAATTCAGGAAAAAAAAAAGCTGACCACCTCAGAGAAAGATCTGTTTGGTAGAAGACAGCCTTTGAATAAACTCACCAAGAATATGAAACAAACTTGCCTAAGGCCAACAGAATATAAAATAAAATCTGAAATGTATTGTAGGAAAGCAATTAGAACCCTATCAGTTACCAACACTCAAAATTTCATATATTTACTATACAGCTAGAATACCTCTTTCTTTGGTTCATGGCTTTAAAATTGTAGCACAAGGAAAACTTTCCTCATATTGATCAGCATTCAGATTTTATATGCTAATGCTATTTTATACAGTGAGCTGGCACAGGAGAAAACTAAAACATCTAGCATGACACTTTAAACTTCTTTCAACATTGGCACATCTGTCCAGATTTAGAACAGTGTCAAACCAAAATAATTTGGAAACAAGAGTAATTTAGAAGCATCAACTCAAGTTTCTGAAACAAACTATCCTCATCATCACAGGGAGACCACTGAATTAAACTGATGTTATTATCAATTTCAGCATTGCCCTCCTTTAACAGCAAGCGGCAAAAGGCTGAGCAGGCTTTTTAGTAGTTGGCAGCAGGGAAGCACGACTCAGTCTGGATCAGACTGCCTTTGTATTAAGAACACCAGTAAGCGACCCACCAAAAGTTGATTTTAAAAAATACGTTAAAGCTTCAAAGCATGTTCCACTCTAAGTTCTTTTAAAAAGATCCATTTTCACCTTCAAGCAGCCATTATTTGTTTTCTTAAAAAAAACACAAAAAAAAAACACAAAAAAAGAAAAACAAACAAACAAAACAAACAAAACAAATCCCAACGGCACAAGGACTACCTTCAGTTAGAGGTGCTTTTCATGTAGAAAAAGACAAAAGAAACAGAATGAAAGTTCTTGAAGCAGGACTAGGAAATAGAAGTTCTTCAGCTTACACACATACACACACCCAAATCAAACCACAACAAAGGTATTTTCAAATGAAGCTTACTTCATGGGTAGAAAATTGTTCTTTGACTTCCTCAACATCACCAGATATTTCCTCCTGTTCCCGAAATGCATCCTCAGCTGACAGCAACCATGTAAGAACTTCTTCCAGAGCAACTTGGTAGCTATCCAAGTCCATATCCACCTCTGTCACTGTGCTGGGAGTCTCTGCTCTAGAACTGTCCTGGTCCTCTTCAAGTGCTACAGTCTAGGCAGCCAAGAGAAAAGGGTTATCTTAGAAGTGCACAGAAGATGCCTTCCCAAATGATATTAAAAACTGAACAACTTTTAGTCCTTCATAAAATGTTAATAGTAAGCATTGGACACATTTTAATGAGAAAGGTCAGAGTCACTACTAATGAACTTTCATTTTAAAATGAAAAATCTGGATAGAATTCAACTTTTTTAACAGTGACTCTCACGACCAAACAAAACCTCATCATTACCACTACCCACCACAAGTTCTGTGGCAAATTCAGTTAAAGATTTCAGACCACTCTCTTCAGCTGGTCAAGACATACAAGAGAAGCAAAAGCAAGAAATGTAACAAAAATGGAACTTTGTACCTCAACACACAAGATTTTGCACATGAATCAGAAAAGAAAAAGGAAGACAGAAAAACTGAAGTTAATGACAAAGAAGATTTTTTCATATTTTCCCAGTTGTGTTGTCCAAGACAGAAGGCATGTTTCAGAGATAACTGACAAACGTAAAGGTCAGCTATAATTACAGCTTACGAAATGACAGGTTGACTTTGATGATAAATACACCTGCTGCATGTTGAACTCTCCATCCTCACATTCCTGCTTATATCTCCTTGGAAGAGTTTCCACCTCCCGAATGTCTTCCATTGTGACTTGCTTAGGAAGGACCTCAAACAAAGAGGTTAAATACATAATAATAGATTTTTTGTCTGGAAGTTGTACAGCAACATCTGCATCAAAAAGAAAGTATGAGGAAAAATAAATGAAGAAGCTGATTTTCTAAATCATTACTTAAAACACAGGTAAGACTACATATTGTGCACATCACAGGTTCTCCTGTTGAGTAGCCTTTGGTAAGCTTTTAACTTAAAGACCAGGTTTGACATATTGTCAAAGAAGTATGAAGGAGAAAAAAAAAATAAAAATTTAAAAAAAAATTTCTACATTTGGAAGTGATTTCATATTAAAAGGCTTGATCTTTTTGAAGTAAGAGCCCAGACACGAAGTTGTTAAGGGATAAAAACCATTCAGGGGAAATTATTCTGAATCATCTCCCAAGCAGAAATGCAGTTCAGGGACAGTATCCCTAAAAACAAATATTTTCACTTGGGCTCTATCCCCACTCCCATTATTGGTCAGTTAATCTTCTCATTTTTCATATTGATAGAGTTTCACTGACTCAGGTTCAGTTATCTCTTGGGTTATGAGCAGTATCCACTCAATTAATACTTTTTTTTTTTTTTTTTTAAATAAGAAGGTGGTGCTTGAATCTATAAAGTTTGAGAGCTTACAACACAGAATAAGTCTTTGGACACTCACTTCAAAGCTGAGAAACAGCTCAGTATTAAAAAAAAGTTTCCTGGTAAGCATTCCTACACAGAATGTACTCACAGCACTGGCAGTTACTGCTACTCAGTGTATATGTAAAGAATAAGACATCAGGGTCCTTAAAATATCCCATTCTACATAATGCTCTATTGTATCTGAAAAGCACACACCCTTGCAGTACAACTCCTACCTAAAATGAAAGACAGTCAGGCTACCAAGTTCAGCTCCCTTATACAGTTTCTGAATGGTAAGTCAACCTGAACCTTAATATTCCAAATGCCAAAACAGAAGCACGCACAGACACAACCTCACCCTAAAAATTACATTATTTTAGACCCAAATTTAAAGGCTCAAAACAAAATAGCACTGCACAAAAATGATGGAATTTTTATTCATAGTTAATGTCAACAGAAGAAATTTCTTTCAAGAGAGCTCAAAAAAACTTCTTGTCAAGTAAAGTAACTATATCCCACCTTCAGGATCTAACAGTTTTTCAATTCCCAAGTGGTTCTTCGCTATGTTGAAAGCATTTTCCAGTCTCTCAACAGGGGCCATCTTTAAAACTTTGTCCCAGCTGAACAGCTCCGGTCTAAAAGTAAAAACAAACCAAGGAAGAAAGTAAATTTTAGCTGGAAAAAAAAATTCCATAACATGCAGAATATCAAGTTACAGATATGACAGTAGCTACACAAGTAATATAAACATACACATATACAAAATACCAACATGAGTTCATATACACAAATGCATAAATACAAATATCTGTCATTTTTTTAATGACAATCTGACAATCACAAACCAGTTAACTGACTGCATGTCCACAGCAACATCCACCTTCCATTCTGTGTTTTAAACATATAGTCATTGACCGCAACAAGAGACCAAATACTACTAACAAGAATTCATAAACTTTGTTTAAAAATTATCCCAGAACCGATTTTCTTCAGTTGTTTCTTTCACAGCATTATTGGTACTACACATTTTCTGCATCAGGTACTCCTGAGTAATCAAGAGTCACTCTATTCCTGGAAAGCCTCGTTCCAAACTTGCAGTGTGGCCACCCCAGGTCACCACAGCCAGGAACAACCAGCAGTCTCCACCTCACTTGCTCACTCCTCCCCATTCCCTCCCCCACCCCTGTAATAACACACAGCCTACAAAAAAAATATTCCATCACAAGTGTTCCTGAGTCACAATGCAAATCGGGCCAAGGAGCTGACTGATTTGCAGTGTCACCAGCCTTCATTTAAGGTCAGTGTTAACCCAATGATATCTCCAGTCCAGCTGTGCACCCAAAACACACTGGAAGGTCTCAAGAGGAAAGAGCAGAGCACAGAGCAGGAAGCAAGGTGAGCAAACAGGGCCCATTCCTAGCGGTGCCCACACCAACAGGGCACGATCAGCCAAGTGCTACACCAGCAGAGCTGGCTACACAGCTTCCATCTCCTGCAATAGTGGCTTCTCATCAAAACACTGCTATTGATTCTGTACTTTATAGAACTTGGGGAGAAAGAGACAGGCCTACCTTTAATTCTTTTAATATTTGATTGAGTTGAATTTGATTCAGTGAATTGACTTAAGAGCATCCTTTATCATCTATCAAGTCCTTACATTTGTGAAATGGGAAGGCCATAAGCCAGCAAAGTCTGCTAAGCAAAAAGCCAGAAGCATAGAAGCTCATGGAATACCTCCATGCAGGAGCAACAAGGATAACCACATAGATTCACGTAAAGCTTTAGCAGAGACTCCGACTCTGAAAAACACATTGCAATCAATATATTGCATATGCAGTACCTGCACACTGACAGGATAACACAAGTTTTAATAAATCACAATCCAGGTATTTACCTATGAGTGAGAAAACTGAACCAAAGAGTAGAATTCAGTTCAAAGAGAAACTAAGCTAATATTAGGAAATGAAAGAGACCAGCACAGTGAATTGTTAATAAAATTACATGAGGTAACAGGTCACTTAAGTGCTGCAGGTGTTACAAAAAGTTACTAGATACCTTAACTAAGAGCTAACAATTATTCATAGATACAAATAGAGAAAAGAAAGATACTAAGTCTCTTAATGAGATCCAAAAAGATTCTCCTAAATGTCAATTTAAACTAAAATAAAAAAGCAATACTGAAAAACTGCCCCTTAGGCAGGGAAGCACTAGTACCTGAGTAAGCTAAACAGATTTGCTGTCCTACCACTTCTGCAACCTGCCCCAGACCCCTTCTTTTTCAACTGCTTTTAAAGCTTCTCTTTCAAAGACGACCTGAATTTAAAGCCGGGTCAAAACTTGTCAGTGTGGTGCTTCCCTGGCTAAAGGACTTGTGCCCAAGGTACAGCAAAGCTTAATTCTGACATGCTAGCAGCTGTCAGGCTCCAAGGAATAGGGAATAAAAGGCTCAGAGACAAGCAGACCCAGAGATTTTAGGAAGCCACACAAAATGACAATTTCTCAGTCAAAGCTTTCAGCAGGGGCTTTTGCTACTTAACATGCTCTGAAAACAGCAGAATTCAGATCATGCAAAGCTCAAGCACGCAGTCAATAATAAGGACAACAAACAGCCTGAAACAAACTTTGCTACCTCTCTCTTCCCTGCTTCCCTTCAGGTCACCTAGGTCTCATTTGCAGCTAAAGCTGGCACACTCCACCACAAAGCTTCACTTGCTCAGCAGCTGAGCAAAGTCACTACAGGCATTTGTGCCAGTAGGAAAAACACCACTACAGTTCACTCCATTCAGAGAAGGGACATGGGGACATTTGTGATAAATTCCAGCAAGACCTTTACTAGTGCTGCTCTGCCTTTGCATAACAGTCCTTCCAAACTTTCAGGAGCCCTCTGTGTGGTGCAGGTCCCCCTTACACACCCTTGGAGGCTGAACAGAAGCCAGCTCTGGTTTACAAAGCACAGAGGTACATCAGGGCAGACCAGTCCTGAAGCCAGCAAACCTTTGACAGAGCCCATTTAAGTTAGCACACGCCAAAGGGGCACTTAAGAGCAGAGAACAGAAGGTTCAAAGTGAACATATGTTTTGCAAACACTTGGCATCTGCTTGGTATAGAAGTTATGGGTATTTGTAAAGCATTTGCTCTGTCAGATACCTGATGGTCAGGAGGTCTGGTTAAATTCTAGAAATTACTAAAGCATTACCATGCTTAAACCATTACTAGGGTTAAGAATACTCAGACCTTGCAAAGCAATGAGTTGACTTAACAATTAAGGTACATTGGATTAGAACATATTTTCCAGTAAATTTGAAAGAAAAATTTTTTTTTAAAGGGAAGTACAAAAAGATATGCAACTTTCATAGGAGTCTGTAGCAATGATTTCTTTAAACTACCAAAGAGTTCTCCAAAAATCAGAAAAAACATAAAAGATCCATGCAAAGAAGCTTTAACATGATCCCTTATAAAGCATCATCATGGTTAGGCTTCGCGAACGAAGATTTGAGAGGGGCTCTACCCACGCTTGCTACAAGCACGCTGATGGCTAAAAAGGCCAATGCCAGATAGACAAGTCCGGTTGCAGAAGGTACAGCAGAAAGACTCCCCAGGTGATATCGACAAGATGCGATTCTTTCTGCGTTGTCTTTTCTCCTCGAGAGTGATCCTGCGTGTGTTCTCAAAAGCAGCAGCAGGGTTATAGATGGTGTGTCTCCAGGCCTCCCAATTAGAGGCCAGAGTAGACCAATGGTGGTGATCAATATGGCCAAGGCTGAGGGATTGTTTCAGACAGTCCTTGTATCTCCTCTTCGGGGCTCCTCTCTTGCGGCAGCCAGTGGCAAGTTCCCCATAGAGCACGATCTTAGGGAGGCGGTGGTCCTGCATCCTGGAGACGTGCCCTGCCCAGCGCAGCTGTGTTCTCAGCAGCATGGCCTCAATGCTTGGGACTGCTGCCTGTTCAAGGACAGATGTGTTGGTCACATAGTCAGTCCAGTGGATGTTAAGGATTGTACAGAGGCAGCGCTGATGGAAGCGTTCTGAGATGCAAGTGGTGGCGGTAAATTCAGGCCCATATAAAAGAGTAGACAGTACGATGGCTCTGTAATACTGATCTTAGTACTTTTCTTCAGGTGTTTGTTTCTCCAAACTCTTTTATGGAGTTTACCAAAAGCTCTGTATGCCTTTGCTAACCTGTTGTCTATTTCCGCATCAATCTTACCGTCAGATGAGATGATGCTCCCCAGGTAATTAAACTGCTGGACTGATTTGAGCTCTGTTTTGCCAATGGTGATATGGGATGATGGGATACTTCCTGAGGTGCAGGCTGGTAGAAAACTTCTGTTTTCTTCAAGCTGACTTCCAATCCCAAAGTTCAGCAGCCTCCGCAAAGCAGGATGTTAAACGCTGCAGAGCTACTTCTGTGTGAGCAACAAGGGCGGCACTGTCAGTGTAAAGCAGCTCGCAGACAAGATGATTTAAGGTCTTAGTGTGGGCCTTCAGTCCCCTTAGGTTGAAAAGGCTCTCATCGGTACGGTTTTCTTCATTGAGGTCTGCCATGGCCCTTTGGAGCATCATGCAGAAGAAGATTGTGAATAAAGTGGTGCAAGAACGCAGCCTTGCTTCACACCATTAGCTATTGGAAAGGGCTCAGAAAGTGCGTCCCCATATCTGACTTGACCGCGCTGGTCTCATGAAGTGAGATGATCATTTTGAGGAACTTGGGGGGACATTCTAAAAGTTCCAAAATCTGCCACAGACCTTTTCTGCTCACAGGATCGAAAGCCTTGGTGAGATCAACAAAGGTAACATAGAGTCCTTTGTTCTGTTCCCGACACTTCTCTTGCAGTTGTCTGAGAACAAATACCATGTCTGTGGTACCTCTGTTGGCTCGGAAACCACACTGGCTTTCAGATAGAAGTTCTTCTGCTATAGCGGGTATTAATCTGTTCAAAAGAATTCTTGCAAGGATTTTACCAGCAATGGAGAGCAGAGTAATACCTCAGTAATTTGAACAGTCTGATTTATCTCCTTTCTTCTTGTACAAGGTGACGATGACAGCGTCACGAAGATCTGAAGATAGTTCACCTCATTCCCAACAACAGATCACAAACTCATGAAACTTAGCATGGAGTGCTTGGCCACCATGCTTCCAGACTTCAGATGGGATTCCGTCAACCCCAGCTGCCTTGCCAATTTTCACCTGCTGTATTGCTTTAAGAGTTTCCCTCATAGTGGGGGCAGTGTCCAGTTTAGTTTTCACTGGTTGTTGTGAAATGTACTGCATTGCTGTATCTTGAACTACACAGCTGGTACTGAAGGGAGTCTGAAAGTGTTCAGACCATCGATTCAAAATGGAAACTTTATCTGTGAGAAGCATTTGACCATCTGCACTGAGTAAAGGGCTTGGAACCTAGTGTGTAGGACTGTAAACTGTTTTCAGAGCCTCATAGAATCCCCTGTAGTCACTTGTATCTGCACACAATTGGATTTTTTCCGCTAGATTGGTCCACTACTTGTTCTGGATGTCACAAAGCTTCTGTTGGAACTTTTTATGTAAGAAAGGTAGCCTTTCGACTTGCATATAGCAAGATGGTTGAGCAGGGTGTGCTTGGTGAGCAGTTCTCTTCTTTCTCAACAATTCCTGGTTCTCTTGATTGTTTTCATCAAACCAGTCCTTGTTTTTCTTGAAGGAGAACTCTAAGGATTCCTCAGAGGACTGCAGGATGCTATTTTTAATAAGTTGCCAAAGCGCTTTGGGAGAGGGATCTATGGAATGATCTTCGAGCCTGGATTGAAGATTTGCCTGGAAACTGTCTCTCACTGCAGCTGTTTGAAGATTGTTGACTTGAAGTCTCCTTCTTGGAATGCCACCCCTTTTAGGTTTGAGCTTAGAGTGGAGGTTAAAGTTTACAGCGCACAGCGATGATCTGTTTGGCATTCTGCACTAGGCATCACATGGGTGTGACGAACATCACGGATATCTCTCTGTCGGAGCAAGATATAATCAATGAGGTGCAAGTGCTTGGATCTAGGATGCATCCAAGCTGTCTTCAAACTATCTTTTTGCTGAAAGATAGTGTTGGTGATGGTGAGCTGCTGCTCCGCACAAAACTCTAGCAGAAGGCGACCATTATCATTGCAGTTCCCAACACCACGCTTGCCTTGTACTCCTTTCCAGGCTTCAGAGTTTTTTCCTACTCTGGCATTGAAATCACCAAGGATAGTGATCTTATCATCTGCAGGAACCTTTTGAATAAGGCAGTGTAGGTCAGTGTAGAATTTATCTTTTTCTGCAGGGTCAGCTTGGAGGATTGGGGCATATATACTAAAGAGAACAATATGTTGCTTGTTGTGTAGTGGGAGGCGTAGGGAGATAATGCGATCAGAATGACCAGTCGGCAGATTTTTGAGTTTAGAGACAATAGAGTTTTTTATCATGAAGCCAGTTCCTGAGAGATGCTTTTCAGTTCTGGGTTTACCTGACCAGTAGAGTGTATAACCGGCACCATGTTCTCTGAGGCTGCCTTCCTCATGGAGACGAACGTCACTGAGAGCAGCGATGTCGATGTTGAGTCGTGATAGTTCATGGGCAATTAGAGCAGAGCAATACTCAGGACATCCACTATTTGCAGTATCGAGCATGGTTCTGATGTTCCAGAATGCAAGTGAATATACCTTTGAAGGCAGGTGTATGCCTTTGACTCTTAGTCGTTATTTGACCACAACAGAAGATGCCCATTGGCCGCAGTTAACCAACCAAGTGAAGGGTGGAGATGAGCTTTGGTTAGGCCACCTTTTCTAGGACCCTCTCCATGTGGAGCAAGCAGTGCTCTCCTTGAAAAAGGCTGCTTGGTCGTTCAGGATGCTGCCAAGTGAGTCTGTCATCTCCAGGGTGAGACTCAAGCGACCAATGTCCTGAACCGCCTGCATGCAGGGTTAGGACTGTGGCTTCCAGTGCACCTTACCACCTGCCGTTTCATCCCTCACCTGTCACTGCAGGGCTTTACAAGTGTGGGTATAACCTCTGAGCCTGTGCAGTGGATTTTATAGGTGAGGCTCAGCGCGTGCAGAACTGGTCCCACCCTTTACTCCTGAGGTTCATCTGCCAGGGCCTAACAGGCTTGGATGGTGAAAGCGAGGTCCTCAGGATGTAGGTTTAATTAGAGTATCCTTCTCTTAGATGGATGGCCTTACAGGGCTAAGCAAGCTCCATCTGCCCAGGTTTGAAATTAGAGTTGTCCTTCTCCTAGGATGATTGCTGGAAGGCTCGTGAGCCCATCCTGCCCATTTGATCTGACCCTTCAGTTTTGACCTGTCTGGCATGGGAGACCCTACTGGAGGCACATGCCACCGCCAGCACAGCTCACAGCCTCATAAGGGCATACAGGCCTCTCCCCACTGAAATAGTTTGGACAAGCCCCTCTCCCCGCTTTTCCCTCACAGCTTCCTACACTCTCACCCAGGGACATTTCCTTGCCCTAAACACCCCTCCAAGACGCTGTAATTCCAAAACAAAACAAAAACAAAGCCAAACACAAACAAACCAACCAACCATTCTGGGCAGAAGCCACAGGCAAGCCAAGTCAAGCCCATCACATCCCACCCTCACTGCTACAGTGCCCAAGCAGGAGTGATCCCGGCATAACCCTGAGCAGGGCGGGCACAAATCTAAGGGGCCCCCGCATCCACCCGGGGCTTGGGCACCCTCCACAGCCCCTGCCCAGCCCAAACCCCCCAACCCCCAGAGAGACTCCCAGCTCACCCCAACCTCACCCCTCCCCCCCCATCACAAGCTCCCCCTTGCACTGCCCACCCACAGATCCCAATAGGGACAGCCCCGCCTGCCCCCTGGTAGGTCTGGGGAACCCCCAGGTCTGTCCCCACCCCTGCCCCCTCCTGGCCTGACCCAGTCTGGCCTGCAGATCTCCCCCCCACCTCTAAACGGGACCATCCACCCGCCTCCCCTCGACAGTCCAGGGAACACCCAGGTCCATCCAGACCCCCTCCCCTGCTCCTGCCTGGCCTGACTTATAAAGTATAATGAACAAACTAATGAATAGTCCACAGATACCTGAAGTGTTCTATTACCCTTTGATTCTTCTGCCCAACAGTTCTCATGAAAGAAGTGCATACACTGTCTTTCATGCAAGATATATTAAAAAACACCAGAAAAGCTACAGCCTTTCTTATTCCTTTGTTTTGAAGCTTATGTATCTCCTTAGTGAAATAAAGTGGCAAACTCTGAAGAAATGTTTCTCTTTGCAGAGGAGGGCAGGCAGAAGGAAGGAAGTACAGGTGAAGGAGATGGGTCAAATTCCCTCTCCCTGCAGAGACCCTTTCAACACACTCGCTTTACAATGCATACTAAGTGGGATGTAAATCCACTCCAATTAGCAAGTGTTTGTGCATGAGCAGGAACTGAGTGTTACACTCCTGCATTGGCTCCAGCCTTTGCAAAGCTCTGGCAATATCCCACCACTGCTATTGTTACCACAACAAAAGACAAACAACCGGACAATGAATCACCAAAACAGGCTAGAAGCTGCCAAATGCTCAAGCATGAAGACACAGAAAAAAAAGCTGTTTACTTCTCCAGGTATAAGATACGCTTTTTCCTACTTACTTGTGCCTGTGGATGACAGCATTGAAGGCAAGTCCATCAGCCCAGCTAGTGGTGAAGTTCAAAACGTTGACCTGACTGTAAGGTCTCGTGGACTGCCGAACCCAGCTCAGCAGTATCTTCTCACTGTTTGTCTGCTGCAAATCTGACATGATGTTCTTCATGACATCCTTCACCTGCAAGACAGCAACAACTGCACCTTACACACACATGCTGCACTTGTCCTACTTACAAAGCAAAATGATTCCACAAATATGAAAGAGTCTTCCCCATGAAAAGCTATGAATCAAACTCCAACTCCTCACACAAAATTTGGGAATAGGAGTCTTCAGGGCATCTTTGCACTCTTCTGATTACAAGAACCAGTAATGCCTCACGTAATAATGACACATTACTCTTACATTACAATCCTCCCCCTCTCCTCGATGCTTCTATGCTTTGTGCTGCGGTTCCACCGGTAAATAAACCCCAAAAATACAGTTCGCACAGGTTTTCTGCAAGAGCAGGATATCTGATCATCAAGCAAAAGTAGTTTGTTGTTTGGGTACTACCCGCATGCATCTGCCGAAGTCCCTCCAAGTGAATTCAATGATCTTCCCAGACACCTGGATAAACCAGGAACAATTCAATCTATGAGACTAACAAACCTCAGTAGCATGCAAGATGCAAGCCAAACACAGCTACCCAGATAGTTAAAAGTTACCTGCTTCAATCCTTTGAGGAAGAAATATAAATGCAAAGCTTCGGCCTGAAAAGTCCCCCCACAATTAACACCAGTAGGAACTAAACTGAGAGGCTGAGTACAACTGAGCACATACAAGAATACGTATCATGGGAGGCAGCCAATAGAAAGAGAGCAGAAACCAAATACCAGCCTGCCTTTATTTACCAGCCCAAAATAGAAGCGGTATTTTCTGCCACCAAAACCCTGGGAAGGTTTGTGAAAATCCCAGCAGATCAGTACACACAATTCCTGGAAAGGAAAAGATCTCACAGCAGCCTCTCACCTGCCAGTGCAAGATAATGCTCCACAGCAGCCCCAGCGTCAGCTTGTGATTTCCATCAACGATGTCAGTTCCTCCAATATTCACCAATTCCACCTAGAGAGGTTGGATCAACTCTATATTAAACACTGTTATCACAGCCTTAAGTCACAGCCCCACCCCATATCCCTGGCTTTCCAACCATATATTACCAAGTGCTCTGAAACAAAAAGCAGTTAGAAAGAGAAAACCAGAGCTGGCAGAGAACTGTCCATCTGAATTTGTAAAGATAACTGCTTAAACAACATGACAAAAAAATGGCACCAAAGAAGATATTCCACTGGAACAGTTTTATTCTCTCCTCTAATACACAAATGCATACCAGCAGTCAAAACTGAACAACAGAAATGCAAGTATGAAGGATCTGACAGGAAAATAACAGTTAAGTAAATTTGCTCCTACACAAACTCAGAGATTTTGAAGAACCATGAAAACTGTTAATGAATAGGTTTGTCCTTTGCACAAACAGCATCAAAACGAGAGAGGTTTATAAAAAGAGACCAAGAGCTCAAGGGGAAAATTAGATTTTCAAGTTTCCTACATGCACAGGACCCAACATTGACTTGAAAATGGTCTAACAAACTATTAAAAAGAGACGCAAGGAGATTGCTTTAGTAAGCAAGAGAGGTAACCCGCCCAAGTATTCAGACCTGAGAAGAAGCAAAGCTTGGAGCACATGACCAGATATTCACTCAGTGCTACTCTGGAGTCTGAACTAATTTGGGGTATCAAGTCTCCATTCAGTTAATGCAGAGAAAGTAGCACTAACTCTAACCACCTTGCACTGCATAGCCACCACCACACAAAAATCAGGCTAGGAACAGCTGCCTACAGCAGATGAAGCAGATACCTCCCTGGGTCTAAGTACGCACACAGCAGATGCTGCAATACACTCCCAGCACAGGGCAGACGTTGGGCATCATTCTCCAGCCCCAGGGGCAAGTGGCACCAGTGCATTTCACCTCAATGGAGAAGCTTCTTAATTTCTTTCTCACCCTTGCTTCAGAACAGTTTTAGCTGCAATGCTTACCAGAAATACCTCCCAGTTTACACTAACTCTAAGAACTGTATATGGACGTTGTTTTGGATCAGCACTGGTCACAGAGACTAAATCAGCACCAAGGAGCTGGTTAGCAATTAAACAATATGGACAATCATGGACAGTAATGGAGGTCATCTCTGACTGTCAGTGGACATAGCCTATGACAACAGAATAGACAGAAACAAAGTTTCATTTTGTTTTAGATGATACTGCTGATATATAAGGATATAAGGCTGACAAATAAATATAAATAGCTTCAATCCTGCAAAATGTACTTGTAACTTCATTGCTTTCAGGTATCTTGACAATTTTCAGTTCCCCATAGGTGCCTCTGTTAGGAGAATCAAATCAAAACTGTATTGCAAGACTAACATGGAACCACGAATTACACTCTGAATACTAAAAAAATTTGTGGATTTCTTCATTTTCCTCTCTCAATTTTTAAAGCACCTAGAACAGAAAAGTACAGCAATACTCTTTGCAAATACAGGGCATATATTTTAAGATAACTATAAAATAGGAAACAACAGGTCAAAAGAATCACCAGTGCAGGTCACTAAAAACACACTGGAAAGAACTCTAGAACATAAGGAACAGAAAGCAAGACTGAAGACCAAGGGTGAAAAAATAAAGCAATTGCATTGTAAGAGCTTTTTTTCATCTCTGATAGAATAAAAACGCTCCCAAGAATGGGTAACAACAAAAACACTTCAGTTTTTAATCAAGTATCAAGAATACTATTGCTAATAATGCATTCCTCTTGCTATCCATACTATACATCAAAGGAAATACTTGATATATCCATTTTTGTATTGTAATGGTGCTTTGCAGGATGCAGCCAGCAATTCAGTAGGACTGTGAGTAGACTACTGAGACTTAGGCAAAGTTAATCAATAAAAGACAGTAGACTGATATTGGTTATACAGAATGACTTCCAGTGGATTTTTTTTTAATTATTATTTTTAGAAAATTGAACCACAAACAAAAAACATTGAACTTCATTACTTAGAACCATTCTGCTAAAAGGATGAGGTTCTCAGGATCACTTGATCACCCACACCCTAGGTTTGTCTGATCTCTGCAATATATACTTAAACACTTTCATAAATTATTTCACAAGTTATAAATATTGCATAGCCCACAAACAAGCAACAGACTGCAACTGCTTCTCAGTTTTTCCCTTCATATTAACATATAACACACTTTCTAATGAAGGTAAGCACTTTGTATAAATCAAGTACATGACCTTAACAACCTTCAGCTAACTAAGACCATCTGTTTACTTCCAGAAACCCAGATCCCGTCATCTTCAGGAAGAACTAATTAATTATTGTAATTCAGTATTAATTATTTATTATCATCATAAAATAAATCAATTTCCAGCTGAAAAAACTCATTACTTATCCTTAGAAAAAAAGTTAATCAATATTTACAGTACCACAAAGAACAAAAACAAATAACTCACTACTAGCTTTGCCTGCTTCCTAGAAATATGACACTAGTGCACCAACACAGAGGAGAAATTGAAGCATTATACAGCCAGTTGGTATCACTCTTCAATCAGTAGTGTATATAAATTTGTCAGTGCCTTCTTGTATTTGGTGTATTTTATTGCCACAATGTTCTTATTAAGTTTTTTTAGTGCCCTGACATTCACAAATAGAAATGCTAACTATAGATTGCACACTTCTCAGGAATTGTTCTTCAAGGGAAAAACTAAAATCACTTTACTGTAACACTACTGGCTTCCAGACAGTAAAAGCAAATATTAAACCACACAATTATTCTTCTCATTTTTCTTAAAGGAGGATTTAGTTTTGTTTGCTTGTTTGTTCTTCTGATCAGTTACTGAAACTGCAAATTAGAAACAGTACACATTGGGCACAGAGCTGACAGATGTCATTGAAACGATCCTCTGGGATACTGAGAGCACGACAGTAAAAACAGCCATAAAAGCTGTCATCCCTTTACACATTTCTACACAAGTTACGTGTCATCACTGGAAATTAGTTTTTTATCCTGCCAGATTCATTAGCTGTGCAATCGTAGAGCTTCAAGCCACCTTTGTCTTGGGAAACTAACACATCTCAACAAACCACAGATTAGTTAATACTTATTAAGTTAACATTTTAAGACGTCAAAAAATTGCTGGACACTTAAATGCTCCATCAGATAAGGAAAACTAAGAACAGTTTACCCGTCTCACTGAATTCTCATTTTACATACTAAAAATTATTTTCTGCATTCTGAACTCATTTACACACAAGAATAAACTAAATAATCTATCAAAAAGTTGTGCAAAAACATGCTCACGTTGTTTTGATGCAAGACTTGCAGTACTCGGTTGACGTTATTTAAGGCATGTACTCGTGTGGAACCTCGTTCTTTAGGCTGAAAATAAAAAGTTACAATCTGTTCAACATCAGAATTAACTTGACAGACCAAACAAAATTAAAGAAAATTCCTGTTCTTTTCTCTCTTTTCCCCAGATTTTAACTTTTTTTTTTGGGGGGGTGGGGAGGTAAGAGGAAACCAAACAAGACCATCCACAATAATTTCAAAATGAAAACTGATCAGAACCAGAACAATATTCCTCAATTCAAGGCACAGAACAAGCCTTGAATTCCAAATGTGTTTCAGCTTATCTTCAGTAAATCCAATTTTATTCCCAGCATCTACAGAATTACTAACTGGCAATACAACAGCAAAGTGAGAGTTCCCGGTGAATATCTGAGGCTTTTGAACATTTGCCAGAGTAGTTGAAATTTTTTGGCTCCCAAGAGAGAACAAGCAGCAATTTATTTTTCTGGCACCAAAAGCCTGCTAGATCTTTGCATACTGGGAAAAAGTTGTACTTCCTGACTTTCCCTTCCTTTTAATATCAAGGGGGGGAAAAAAACAAACAAAAAACACTTCAACTCTTGACAATACCTGCCACTCCATTTGCTTTTAAGCACCACAATTTAACTCCTGAGGTAGAACATGATCATACTGCAAGAGCATGGAGCTGAACCTGGGACACGTAATCAACTTAGAAACCAAAAGAGTCCTGTTGTCTTGGGCATATTGCAAATGACAACACAAATTATTAAAAGTGCTTGTGAAACACATCTGTTTAAAAAACAAGGCAAGCTTGCAATGTGAAATTTTAAATGGCTAAAGGCTCCTCATAAGGTCAATAAACAAATTTGAGATTTCTTATAAATAGTGAAATCAAGAATTTAATCCCCAAGTGATGGGATAATAGTGATGGTACAGTTTTCACCAAGCCTCATGTATCTTTCTGAAGTGCTATCAGTGTTACCAGGGGAAGAGTTTTAAGCCACACACACTTTCCCATATGCAATTTGAGCAGTTTTCAGGCTTTTTCAAACTGTAGGTCACAGAATTCTTCAGTGGAGATCCAGATTTTTGCATTGCCTACTAGCTGCTGTTTTTTTTCTTTTGCGGATCTTTCAGGAGCTTATTAGGAACCCACAGGTAACCAGTTGAACGCTGGTCTCTCTGATCATCCAGAAACAGACCATTAAAAGCTTTCTATTAGAAACACACACTATGTGAATAACAGCACTGTTTTTACATGCTTTGCTAGACAGTATGTAAACTCTCACGAGAGGGTTACACAGTTAAACTTCAGCCTGACCCTGTATCTCATAAGTGCAGTTCATGGGAATTTCACTGAAACTTCAGAGAACAAGTACACACTACAAGCAAAACAGGGTTTTAAATAAATTAAAATTAAAACAAAAACAAAAACATGTCACAGTTTGGGGTTTGTGTTTTGTTTATTCATTGGTTTGTTTTTTCTTAATAAATGGAAATAGATGTTTCTCTTACCAGAGGTTTCCCTGTCAGACCCTCCAAAAGGTCCAAAAGTTTCCTTCCATCTTTCAGATCTGTGAACATGTCCTTAACTGGGGGCTTCCCACTCTGCAGAAGAAATGAAAGCAGTAATAAAAACAGTGTTTAATTAGAACTTTCCAGAAAACAGGTGCTTTTTTCCTCTTTATCTTTCAATTTATTCTTATTTGGTACTGAAAGTAGCAAATGAAAGCTAGGGGACTGCAACAGTGATCAGGAAAGAACTCTTCCCTTCTTTAGTGGTTTTTTTTTCCCCTCCCTATTTCTATGGTTCTGTGCATCACAGGCTTGTACTAAAGAACCAAAGCAATGCATCCTGACTCACATTAGGGGGATGCATTAACACGTAAAGATAGCAAAGAAAGAAAACTTGGCAAGTTTGAGGAGTCATTTGAGAAAGAATGCCTTGGTCTGGCTGCATTTAAAGGAAGAAGAAACTGGGGCTTTTCAGAAAGAAGCTATTGGGACAAATTCTCTCAGATTTAAAAAAAGACAAAAGACAGAAAAGGACTTGGAATTGAGCCCTGTGTAAGGAGGTGCCACTACTCTACACAGATTAGTGTAATATTTATTGAAATAAATTAATCACTTTCTCTACCATAGAAAAACAAGATAAATGTGAAATTCAGAGCTACTCTAAGTCATACATTTCTAATTTTCTCTTTCTTTGGGCATGGAGGGACCCTGTAAAGAATGGCAGTAGATGAGAGCAGAATCATATTAACCTTTTAATCTTATCCCTTCTTGGGCCATTGTAGAACAGCTCTACAGGACAGAGGGAGAAGGCACAGAAAGTCAGCAACTAAGTGCATTTGCTTTGTAATACTCAGCTGCTAGCTGCCAAGAAATCAATTAAACCACTGCTTTCAGTGTCCCTTTGAAGTGCCAATCTGAGAAGAAAAAATTTTTAGTACCACCAAAAACTCCAATATTGCCTTTTTCAATCACCTTGACTTTATAACATTGCTCTTCAGAAAGAAGACTGTCAAAGACCCATCTTAAACGACATGAGTTGGCTGACATAGATCTCCTCTTGCCCTAACAGCTGCTAGTAATTGCCAAATGCTGGCTAACAAATCAGAAGAAGAGAGCTGAATGGCCCACTGAACCCCCTTTTTTGACAAATGTGTGGGGTTTTTTCCCCAGAATTCATAAGGGGCTTTCCTTAAATGTCCAGTTTAATTAGATTTGATCCTACTAAAACTCGAAAAAAAACCCCTAAAGTTGAAAAGCTGCAGAGCCATATTTTAGTCTCCTGTACAGAAACATAACTAAATAAAACTCATAATTTCAACCAGTTAAACAGTGGCAAGAACAGTCTTTTAACTAAGGTCACTTCCTAAGATACACAGATGCTAGTCCCAGTGTCTGCCAATATATTACTTTTGCAATGAATTTTTCTGATAAAATTATTCTCCAATTAATTTTAAAAGTCATGCCTGAAAAAGTGTATATACACATGTTGACGCATATTTAGGCAAAGGGTGTAGAAAGCAATGCCAGACCTATATCAAATAGGAGTATTCATTAAATATCAGTGTTTGATAACATTCAGCCATTACATATTGCCACCTCCTGAGCTCAACTATTGCCTCTCTAGCACAGCAAGGCCCTCCTCCCAGAGCATACACTTTCTCAGATGATTCAGATGCTTCACAGCTGCACAGCAACTTAACCAAATCTTTAAAGCATGCTGGAGCCTATGATGGGACAACTGGCTGGAAAGATAGAGGAGAGCAGTGGCTGTTGTCTACACAGAGTTCAGCAAGGCTTTTGACATTGTCTCCCATAATGTCCTCATAAGCAAGCTCTGCAGGTGTGAACCGGACAAGTGGATGGTGAGGTAGACTGAGAACTGGCTGAACAGCACAGGGCACAGAGATAATCAGTGGCATAGGGTCTAGTTGGAGGCCTGTCACTAGTGATGTTCCCCAAGGTTCAGTACTGGGCTCAGTATTGTTTAACTCATTCCTCAATGACTTGGATGAGGTGGTAGATGCCTCCTCAGCAAGTTCACTGACAACACAAAGCAGGGAGGAGTGGTCAATACCCCAGAGGGCTGTGCAGCCCTTCAGAGGGACCTCGACAGGCTGGAGGGGGCAGAGAATTGTCTGAAGTTCAACAAAGGCCAATGTAGGGTTCTGCCCCTGGGGAAGAATAATCCCAGGCACCAGTACAGGCTAGAGGCTGACCTGCTGGTAAGCAGCTCTGCAGAGAAGGACCTGGGCATCCTGGTGGACAGTAAGGTGCCCATGAGCCAGCAGTGTGTCCTTGTGGCCAAGAAGGTCAGTGGTATCCTGGGGTGCCAGGTGACAAATGGAATGGAGCATCTCTCTTACAAAGAAAGGCTCAGGGAGCTGGGCCTGTTCAGCCTCAAGAAGAGGTGACTGAGACCTTATCAATGTGTATATGAAGGAAGGGCACCAAGACAATGGAGCCTCTTGGAACTTCCAAGAGGAAGTTCCATCTAAGCATAAGAAAGAACTTTACTGTCAAGTTAACTGTACACAGATCACCTAGAGAGGTTGTGGGGTCTTCCTCACTGGTGATATTCAAAAAACCTTTAGGGAACCCTTCTTGAACAGGGAGGCTGGACTAGATGATCTCCAGTGGTCCCTTCCAACCTTAACCATTCTGCAAGTCTATGAGATGGAGAATAGGATAACCTAAGCATAGATGAGGAGAAGCATCTTCTATAGTTTATGGTGTAATACAGGAGGAGATGATCCACAGTGCAATTACCTCAGAAGCCAGCAAAATTTAGTCTACATTTGATTTGCATCACAACATTGACGACACTAAGAGAAGGTTGCTAAAGGCATAAGGAAATTGTTCATGTGATCGGAAAAGTAGACAGTAGGAGTTACCAGAGGTCCCACTGGATGCAGTAAGACTCAAACACTCACTTAGTAAAAAATAAAGTAAAAAAAGATGAAACAAGAAAAAAAAAAATCAACCCCAACAAACAAAAAACACCAAACACCTTGTTAGCCATTGAAGGGTGGGTCTCTCCAGGGTAGAGGAGAAGAATCACCTCCATTGACCTGCTGACCATACTTCTTTTTATGAAGCCCAGGACATGGTTGGCTTTCTGGCAGCTAATGTCCAGTTTTCCTCTAGAGTGCTGCTCTTAATTCATTCACCTCCTAGTCTGTACTGATACTGGAGAATGCCCTGATGCAGGTGCAGGACAGGACCATGGCCCACTCCTCTACCCTGAAGGTCTTTCAGGATGGCACCCATTCCCACCTATGAATGAACTGCACTTGCTCAGCATGGTGTCACCTGTAAGTTCTTGGAGGGCAACTCAAACTCACTGCATGCCACCGATAATACTGAACACTACAGATCATATTATGGACCCTGAGGGACAGCATTTGTTACTGATCTCCATTTGGACATTGAGCAGTTGACTGCAAGTCTTTGGATGCACCTGTCTAGCCAATTCCTTAGTCACCTAACAGTCCATTCATCGAACCTGTATCTCCCCAACTGAGTGATAAATGATGTTGTGGGAGACACTGTCAAAGGCCCTATGGATGGAAGGTCTTTATAATTATACAATTAATTATGATTTTGTAAAATTAGAACAACACACACATGTATTACACCAAAACAGAGAATGCTATAGTTATATATCCTCAATAAATTTGTTGCCTTCAGTCCAGAAGTTTTAAAATATTTGGATCTTCTGAAAAAGCAGAAAGATACCTCATTTAATACTCTGTAACAAGGGTATAGAGAGCATAGAGCCTTCTTTCTTTGTTTCCATCCCCTCACTTCACACACATGAAAAGAAGTTGAATGACTTCCTGCTTTCAGTCATTAATTTCAACAGGTCACGGTATGTTCCAGCCCCATGCAACACATCCTGCTGTGACGGTGGAAATAATTCAGATTTGCTTTCTGAGGAGGATAAGACTTTTCCATTTCACTGGCCATCAGACTATCATTTTGCTGTCAGCTTAAAGAGTCAGCAGAAGAGTATTTAATTATTTCTGCAATCTAAGCTACTCTTTCCTGGTTTATTAAAGTACCCGCTATCCCTAAAACAGAGACAAAGCAATATGCAAAGCCTTGTATTTCACAGAATCACAGAATATGCTGAGTTGGAAGAGACCCACAAGATCATAGAGTCCAACCCTTAGCCCTGCATAGGACCCCTCCCAACTCAGCATATTCTGTGATCTTCATCTCCCTTCTTCAGATGCTCTCTAATAGCTTGGTATCTTTCTTATACTGTGGTGCCCAAAGCTGCACACAATACTCAAGGTGAGGCCACAAAAGTGCAGAGCAAAGCAGGACAATCCCCTCCTGTGATCAGTTAGTGATGTTTTGCCTGATGCACCCCAGGAAGTCAGCTCACAGGAAGTATTTCAGAAGTGCAAGGTGACTCAAGTTTGCTAAGAATGGGCTGCAGCACTCACCCCACCAAGCCCATGATCACCTCCACAGCAGCACACCCATCAGGAGGGCTGGAAACCTGCTCCTCCAGCTTCCCACACCCACATGAAGCACACGCAGACACCTGGTGGCAGCGGCCACCCAGGTACCCTTAGCTGTCCCATCACGGCACAAAGCCAGCCCTGACAGTCAGCTGATGTTGCAATGGGAGCAGAGACCGCACAGGCACTGCATCCTGCTCTGCTGACACTGCCTCCTCCCACCCATGCTTTTTCCTCACACCTGAACACACATTTCCATGTGAGATCTGCTATGAGAATCATGTGGTCTGCAGTCACAAACATCACTGCTTTGTCCTCTAATGTAGCAGGATGCTGGCCCACTTTCTTGGGGTGCAATTGACAGCAACCCACAGTACTCCAGAAAAAAATCTTCTACATTCTTTTTCTAGACACAACAGCTACAGATCCCAGCTTCTGACAACTGTATGACTTACAAAGTTTATTAAGCATAGAAAGGTGTGGGAAAACAATTTCTTTAAATGGCAGCCCAAGAGATAGTCCCAGATATCCGTTTCCCAAGAGAAGGCAAGGAAAAGCTCTGGGGCAAAGCTAACAAAACAGCTGTGCATGCCCTTCTGTGCCAGGCATGAGCCAGGCCAGCTT